GTTTCACACGGAATTTGATCACTAACACGTCGTTTATCTTTAATTGGCTTGTTAGCGCGAGGAAATGGAGCTGGATGAGAGAAGGAGGCGTGAGGACGAGGATGTATCCAAGCTGGATTCTAATGCTATTGGAGAGGGTCAGCTTTGGTATCTCATTGGAGCTGACTGGCTTAAGGAATGGCATGCCTTCAAGGCTGGAGGTATGTCGTACAACTGCTGTAAACTATCCAAAACTAGGATTGGGGTCCCAGATAATTCACTCCTGTATCTCATATCTACTTTGTACACTTCGTCGCATAGATCGGCCCCCTGGTCCCATCAGAAACTCACAGTTTCTCAAGGATAACGGACAGCCTCGAGCAGGCATGAAGCGAGGTGGGTTAAGGAGTGCGTGGGGTTGAGTGCCAATTAATGCATAAATGGGATGGAATCGCAGCCAACTGACCTCAGTCATGCTCCGTTGATGTTGCTCAGGTTTAGACTATCGCGGAATTAACAACAGTGTATGGCGATATCTGTATGACATTTACGGCGGCGGCCCAGAGTTTGTTCGAGGTAACAGATCATAGCGCTATTGCTCCTATCAAAAATGTATCTCGCCATCAAGGCACCAAAGTTCCAAGGTGCTCGTTTATTAATGATATAGGTGCCCATGTTGCTCCTTTGTACTACAGCGACTCTGGACTTGTATGCACCGGATCCCAAGACACTCCCTTCGGGTCAAATGCGCAATAGTGCTCGAGGCAATGTGCACTCTATTTCACCGCGGCAGCAACACTCACAAGATGCGAGTTATCAGCACCAGCACCATCGTCAGAAAAACGGGCATACAAAAAAGCTTAGTGCCAAACATGGCCCCGGGGCATCGATTCCTCCGGCAAGGACAGGTTATGCGTAGGCATTTCTTCACGTGCACGGCTGCACAAATTGTCCATGAAGTTCGTTCCTGAAACTCTATTGGTCTCAACTTTTGAATGAATATATGCATAGATAGTCAATCGGCGTGTCTTCTTTGTATTCTGCCCGGCTTCATTATTATTGTTATTTTTAATTAGCAACATCAAATTCACGCTCCTGCTCTCATTCATCCCCATGCAATGGTCATGTCCGTCCTTGCGATCCTTGCATCGAGTCTTCGCGAGGGTCAGAATCTGCGCATCATCATCATGATCATCATCTTTTCTTCCTCTTATCTCGCAGTACCAGGGATCCTTCGAGTTCTCGATTGACGAAGACAGTCAGGTCCAGTCAGTCCCTGTGGAGGCCTGCCACCACGACATTTACTACACCCATCACATTGCCATCTATAGTCCTGACGACATTCGGTCATGGACATGAGGCGACACTCGGGCATTGTCAACCCCAGAAGGCCGCAGCGTACCCAGTTTCTAATCGCCTCCCCACTCTTACAGTCGCGCCCAACAGAATCTGAAGGGAATCAAAAAGCTCGGGATTTGAGCCATCAGCAGCACGAAATGACTGACCAACAGTTCATTCCTACATCTCACAAAGAGACTGCGGGACTTGAGCACTTTCTCAGATCATATTACGATCAATTGGAGGACGAGGATCAGCAGGACCAGTTCCATGTTCATCCGCCGCCCAAGGTCGCACCAGCTATCGAACTATTCCAACGGATGGAGCGTTCGTTGTCCCCGTGGATCCTTAAAATATCATGGTACCAGCTTAGACCTGCATCGAGAGTCAACAATGGATGCTAGGGTACCGGAAAGCTTTCGCCTTCCAAAGAACGTCAAGAACAGAGATATTATGATGTGTGTGGGCGACAAGCATTCTATCTACGCCCGCACCACTGTCAAAGTCCTGCGCGAGGTCCTTGAGTCCGAGCTTCCGATCGAAATCTACTTCGCCGGAGATCGGGATCTGAGCAAGGAGAATCGGCAATGGTTTCAAAGGTTTGACAACATGACTGGTATCGACACTACGACGAGACTCGATCAGCACCTGGTACAGATCTCGGGACCGATGATCAAGCCCTTTGCCATGTTGACCTCGCAGTTCTACGAGGTTATTCTCATGGGCCAGTTGCCTACTTTTTATAGGATCCGGCCATTTTATTCGAGGATGGAGGCTACAAGGAAGTAGGCACGGTCTTCTTTTACGATTGGACTGTACTCAATAAAACGGCCGGTGTCAATAAGAGAGCATGGCTGGCTTCGTCACTGCCCTCGGTTTCAAACCGCCCTTCAAAAACGCCTTGGTTCCGCTCCAAAGGTGATCAAACCCAAGACTCTGGTGTGATCGTACTGAACAAGAAAAAGCACTTTCTGGGTCTTCTCGCAATCTGCAAGATGAATGACTTCTTGGAGCGGAATCAGGCGGCATTCCAATCCGCCTGGAGCGAGAAGGAGTTTTGGATCGGAATGGATATGGTACAGGAACGATATTCATTAATTCGCTTTGGTGGAGGAGTGATCGGCGACCTTGGTAATGCAATACCTTACAAGAGGGGAGATGACTTTTCAGGTCCTTATTTTAACAGCGACAACGCCTTTTCCTCCCCATCATCGGCATCGTCATTATCACGATATGGATCCATTCCAATGAAGAAAGACCGTGTCTGCGGCAATCAACTTCACTTCAATTACAAAGGCCAGCCGCTCTGATGGAACAACGGCCTGGTCCGAGACAAACCCATGGATAACTCTCCGTATTTGAAGCACACACCCTGGATGCGAGATGAACACAGGGTCTGAGACATTAAACACTCGTGTTTGGCAAAGACTTTTCACGGGACATTGATGGAAGTCGAATGGAACCTACGGTTGACGGTGTTTGAGATGCTGCGCCATGACCAAGCGGTGGCTCAAGAGCTGAACCAGCCAAAGGTCAAAGACATTCTCCCTATTGCACGACTCGTCAAGGCCGAGGACGCTAAAGGCGGAAAGGGCAACAATGAAGCTGTCTGACCTGAAATCCTATCCCTGCGACATAATAAATGAAGATGGCGCTCCTTCCTTTGCCCCTATCTCCTTTTTTCGTATGTGCGTAGATTGTCATTCTTCATTTTGAGATGATATTGTCATGGACCAGCTGAAGAAAAAGAGTCGATGCGTCTTTTCTTTGCGTGCCTTGTTCGATGGATACCCTTTGTCAGCGTGTCTATTCCATTGTGTTCCGTGAGAGTCGCTTGGAGGTGGCCCATTCAAGATCTAACAGTGTTCATTCCCTGAGTCGTATGAAGTTATAAGGTGGAACTTGTAAGGGAGAGACCGATTTGAGGAGCCTAAGAAGGCGGGAGATACAGAAATACAGAGATATAGATAGACCTTGGACGTTGCGAACATGAAAGAATGTGAGAAGAGGAGAGGAGCGGTTTAAGGACAAAAGATGGGATGGCCACCGTTGCGGCGCGATAAATCCTAATTAATCTTGAGGCAGCAACAAAAGGCGCAAGATCGGACGAGTATTGTCCAATTTGCTCGACAGCAGCATTTAGCTTCAGGTACATGTTTGCAGAGAGAGGGATTGCATTGATGGTATCATCCTGTATCTAATGGACTTCTGGGAGTTAAGACGCGTCCGGTTGTTTGCCTCGCTCGTCCTTTCCTTTATTGAGAGCACGATGGCGTGATCGGGGAGGGGAGCTCCTGCGCTGTTTGCGTGCACACGCGCACACAGAGTTTAACTGGCATAGACTAAGGGACAGTGGGCCCATATACAGTATGCCCTTTTCTGGCGGGTTCTTTTTCTTTTTTTCTTCGATCTCTCTCCCTCGAAAGTGACTGTTCATCGCTCGTCTCCTTCGATGGCGAAATCGATCCGCATTTTGATGCGTCCAACCACTCTCCCGTTCTGCGCGATAACGACGCAGACGCGACTATAAAAAGACCGTCTTCTCCAAAAGGATCTCTCTCTTCTCATTCCTTCCCTCATCCCTCCACCTTCACACCCCATACTCACCCTCCACACTCGCAACTATGTCTCCCGACCGCAACCCCCTCCGTCTTGGCTCCATCGCCCCTGACTTCGAGGCCGAGACCACCAAGGGCCCCATCAAGTTCCACGACTTTATCGGCAACTCCTGGGTCATCCTCTTCTCCCACCCCGCCGACTTCACCCCTGTCTGCACCACCGAGCTCGGCGTCGTCGCCCGTCTCCAGGACAAGTTCGAGGAGCGCAACGTCAAGGTCATCGGCCTCTCTGCCAACGGCCTCGAGTCGCACCAGGAGTGGATTAAAGACATCAACGAGGTCAACGACGTCGACCTCAATTTCCCTATCATTGCCGATGCCGACCGCAAGATCTCGACCCTCTACGACATGTTGGATTACCAGGATATCACTAACCTCGATGCCAAGGGCATTCCCTTCACTGTCCGCTCCGTCTTCATCATTGACCCCAAGAAGACCATCCGTCTGACCCTCTCCTACCCTGCTTCGACCGGCCGCAACTTTGACGAGATCCTGCGCGTTGTTGACTCATTGCAGTTGGGCGACAAGAACCGCATCACCACCCCTGCCAACTGGAAGCACGGTGACAAGGTCATCGTCCACCCCTCTGTCTCCAACGAGGAGGCCGAGAAGCTCTTCCCTGGCTTTGAGACTGTCAAGCCCTACCTCCGCTTCGCTGCCCAGCCTGGCACTCAGAAGGCCTAAACTTGGCGCTCGCACGCTACCTTGCCACACTTGTATATCCAGATCCAAAAGGCCATAATCATTTCCTGTAAATAAAATATTTATTAACCAAACGACTCGAACACGCCATTTTGATCTGCTCGACTCTTTCCTCCACTTTTCGTCTCCGACGCGCGCGGACGGCGCGTTCTTTGTATACATTGAAGATTCCTTAAAACTGACATCCTACTGTTACTAATAAAGTAGCCATAGATACCCATCCTGTGGGCAATTGCTGGATGGCGGGCCTAGCGTTCACGGAAGGCAATTGATTCTTGCCTTTACGCCCGAAAAAAGGAATCAATAAATATCTCCAGTGATCTTCTTTGGCTTCTTTATCACGCTCTGCGCAACCTGAGGCCTTGATCCTTTTTTGAAGATGCGATGGTTTGAAATAGCCCCGGACAGGGTTCTTCATCCAGAAAAATGTTCATGGCATCCCGTTTATTGACATTGGCTCAGTATGCAGCGAATAGAAACTGATCTTCGGACTTCCCTGAGCACTGCCACGCTCCCATTACTTTAGAGTAAGTCCACACTTTGCTTGCCTTTTCAGGCCGTCAAAAAAATCTGTGGGACTAGCGCTGAATGGGTCATCAAAGATCTACGATGGCAGTCCGGGCTCTTGTTGCACATTGCTTTCTGGTAAATCTAGCATTGGTATAGATCGTCCTTCGCGGTGTAACAGCAAACAAACCCAGCTTCGCTACACAATTAACAGGCTTTTTTCCGCGGAATAATAGCTAGACAGATCTATTCGAGTGGCCGCAGTTCTTCCCACTGGGTCATCGCGTCCTTAACTGGCCAATAAAGTCAATTAGGAATTCCTTTAGCTCTCCTGGCATTGAAACACAAATGCGCCGCCCCCTTCTGCAGCAGGAAAGCTACTCCAAAAAATTACCCAAATTATCTTATGTTTTCTTCGGGCGCGTCATGACGATGTATGCATCGGGCTGGGTATTTTATGTCAAGCATTATGTTAGACGGGATGGCGATCTATAAACATCCTAGGGAGGGTCATGGAGAAGTTAATGATGACCAATAATTACATGCAGTACTCTATCACCTCTTGCTATGTTAGCTACAGCCGTCAATTCATGGCCATTGCTGCCATTGGTATCCTGCAGCCGCACCTAGCGGCCATGCATCAGACTACCAGCCCAACGGAATAGAATCAGAGGCTTCAAATGATATTTATTGCGCTTCTGGTATCATCTTTTCTCGGATCGTTGACTATTGAGCCCATCTGCGCCGTACTAACCCCAGTGGTTGATTACGCTCCCAGCTGTGCTCAAGGGCCGATCTATCAGCTGGAGCGATACGACTAGTGGATGTAAAAGCGAGCGTCTACGGTGTCGTAATGGTTGTCATTTTCAAAGCGGCCATCGCAGTGGTATCATTTCCTGTCAGCATCCCGAATAATAGCGTGATCTTCTATGGGAGCTTCTATCCGAGGTCCATAAGAAACAAAGTGGACTTGAGGTAAGGAGATGCACCATATCGATTGTTCATTCCAGATTCAAAGGACGTCTCCCAGTTGACAACGGTATTTTCAGTAGAACACTATAAAAAACCATTTTAGGAAAACGGAATTCACTGCGCCCATGCTGTCACAAAGTTATAGAAGGCGGTATGGCAGAAAAAGGAGAAAATCAGCTAAAGTAAATCATACTGAGTGACGAAGTTAGCTTATCCCACTGCGGTTGCTTCCTGTCGCACAGGTTCAAGTAGCATGAGCATGAACATATCGATTACATTGCTCGATTAATCTCAAGAGTTCTTGTTCTCACCCACTCCATAGCTTCAAACCATTCCGCGAACATCATCAATGTGTACAACGACGCAGCTCTATAAGGTGAGTCAGGAGAGAGTGCATCAGTGAAAGCACTGGTGGAGCGCGGTCCTTTGAGGCGAAGTAGATACGTCCATAGAGTGTAGTCTACGAATGAGTGGCGTGGAAACTAAACAAAGAATGTGCGAGTAACCACAAAGAAATGACAGAGGGGGCTTTTCGTAGTCCAAATCGCTGGGCTGAGTCGATACGAGGAAGAGATTGACGAGCAATTGCTATGAACATGATAGACTGGGTTATTTCGGGAATAGCCTATTCAGGCCAGGTTTTTTCCCTCCTCGCCCCCTAGACGAATGCCACTCCAAAACTTCACAACTTTTGAAAAATTATCTAAGGGCGGCTGTGTAACCGATAGTCCTACCGCACGTCCAGGAAAGGGAACCTGCGTTTCGATTTAGCTCAAGTGGGTCCCGATGATGCTCAATTAGTTGACTACGGCACATTCCATTCTCAAAGGGCTTCGGACTGCGACGATCCTTTGAAGGGTCAGTCGGCGGCACAGAAGGGGAAAGCGAAAAGAAGTTCTCAACCAATGGCCCCATGCATCGCGAAAAAATAGAGCCATGCATTGATGCCAGGGTACATAGAATGGCAGCAGTCGAATCATAGAATCTTCCCTGATCTTGTTGAGAAAATAAAAAGACCAGGAGCTTGGGGATTAGTGGCAGGTAGATGTTTGTGAGACATGCTTCTCAGGAATTGCCGACTATGCGGTCAGTAACGTTAACGGAAACAAAACGGTTGCTCTCATCAAATTAACTTATCTTCCAAGGCCAGATGCATATAAAAGCCGATGCCTTCCCGCTCGTTTCACAGTGCTCATCCGAATTAGCACTGGTTAACCTGTGCTTCTCTATTTCAATATTTCATTGCTTCTCCACTGCGCCTCCACCCTTGTTCCATCCAGCGCTGTTCGCACGCATACCCTCCATTCCCCTCCCTCTCTCATTTTTTTCCTTTCTTCGCTGCTGTCCTGCAGCCAGTCTTCGTCTCACCTAGACCTCTCGAGACGCGTTTCGTGCTGTTGTATTGCTGTACTGTTGTACTGTTGTACTATTGTACTATCATTCAAAAAACTTTGCTACCAGCATTCCATGCTGCTCTCTGCGGTTTCTTTAGACACTCAGCAACATCAACCCCCACAGCCAGCGTGTCGACAGGATATTGATCTCTCCAGCATTGCGACATCATACCCTGACTTCCTTGTGCCAGCCGTGTCTACCCGACAGTCTTGATCTCCAAAGTCTATTCAGCCTTATGTCTCCCGACCCATCGCTCAAGGACCATCTTTCCGACTCCGCGGAGGACGATGAAGATGAGGACGAATATGGTATCTTCTCGGCGCCTAGTCAACGTCAAATGCGTCCACAACAGCAGCAGCAGCAGCAGGAACAACCGCAGCAGCATGTGCAACAACAGCAGCTTTTAGGTCTCCAACAACAGCAACAGTACCAAGAAAATCAGGATTGGCGGCTACAGCAACATCAGGAATTCCATAACCTTCATACCAGTACTCAGGGGAAAGCTATGGCCCCTCTTCAAGCACTAAGACCTCATCATCCAATGGTGCTGCAAAGGACAGTTTCTATGCCACATTGCCCCACACTCAACACCCCCTACCATCAGTCAAAGCAAATTCAGCTGGATTTACAACAACCTGGGTTTTCAGACACGCAGCAAGAGTTCTCGATGCTACAGCACCGAGAGTATCGACAACACCAGATCTCTGCTCCCGCGGAACACGGCCAGCATCAAGCAACGATATCTTCGCCTCAGTACGCATCAAGCTCTCCTTCTTCATACATCGTCCCTGGAGGAGAGCGCTTTGTTCCTCTTCCAGAACAGTTTTCGGACCTTATTACGCTAGACCGATATCTTTCTATGCTACAACTGCAACAACCAGCGCTCCAAACCACAATCCCATTGTACGAGCAAGATATGGATTTGATGATGCTTTCGTCCTTAAACCTCTTCGGTCAAAATGAAGACCTGCTGCAGCAATTTGACACCTCAACGTCGTCCTCAATTCAATCCCCCCCTCTATCCTGGACTTCGCTTTCGCCTACCCGCGAAATCTCTCCAAGTCTGTCACCAGATGCCCTCAGGCGCCAGATTTTCTTCTCGTTGCCGTCATCCTCCGCCAGCTCTCCAAATCAAGTAACGAGCTCGACGCCCTTTGCATCATCAGTTCCCTCCTCTGGATCGAGCTCGGCCTCAGCTTCTACATCTGCACCATCCGTCCCAAAACGCCGTCGACGCGTTCGTCCTTCCACCATCAAGAAGCCAAGAAAGATCAATCCCACCTCCTTCGAATGTACAGCTCCTGAATGCGGCAAGGTCTTTTCCCGGGCCTACAATCTGGCCTCTCACATGAAGACTCACTCTTCGGAAAGACCCTTTCTCTGCGAAGTGTGTCCCCTTGCCTTCGCAAGACGCCATGATCGCGAGCGACATGCACGTCTTCATACAGGGGAGAAGCCATACTCTTGCGGAATCTGCGGCGCTGGCTTTATGAGAAATGATGCTCTACACCGACACCAAAAACTTTGCGGAGTGGCCGGATTCTCCTTTGCCATTGATATTTATAATGAACTTGGAGGGAACGACGATAAATCCGAAGGAGGATAGGGCTCTCCAGCGCATACGCCATGCCCAGGAATGCCCGCTACAATCCAGAATTGGGATGCAAGCATGTTAGAATGTTATATGTGTCAAAATGTATTATAAAATGCCTGGGCGTTGAAACATCCTTTCCATATTCGTTTTAATCCAACGTGATCCTCATTTCACTTTTGAGCCTCCGTGGCATCATTTTTGGAGGTTGGGAGCTTGAAGATGACTCCAGTACTTGCTGACTGGCGGGAATAGTGATGATGGCGGTATTAGAGCGGGGATTAGCTCGGGGAAAAGGCGCAAGACAGGCGCGATTGGGCTGCCATGAGAGCCGGAACTCATCTAATTTGATAAGTTTGCTGGATCCCAATTCTGGGTCTCCACTTTAGTGTTGTCCAATAGGATCAATTTCGTGATCGTCCGAAAGGCTCCATAAAAAAAGTGGGTGCATCGTTCCACCGGCTGTAACGACTATTTGCCTCCACATTCACCTCTCACGATGGTCATCCACCTCTCTCCTCCCATCAGTTCGTTGAACATCAGCTCAAGCTTACATGGCCCCTTCTTCAGAAACCTCAAGTTCGCGCTTCGGTCTCAGTGCACGTGGCCTTCACAGCGATACACTTCGCCCAGCGCTTCCTCGCACCCAGGATCCACACTCATATAGCCTTCCTTCACCTTCTTCACCACTGATGATCCTCGCTCCATCTATTGCAGTTGCAACTAGTGGAGATATCGTTCCCGAGAGTAAAAAATCGGCCCAAGCATCATTATCAATATCCTCACCTGTGTCAGGTATTCCCTCCCCGACTTCCGTATCTTCAGCAGCACTCCGTAATGATCATAGACTGGCGTCAACTCCTCCATCTTCTCCACAGCTGGCGTCTTCGAGCACACACCCTATCATTTCCACCGTTAATGTCAAGGATATCGAATCAAGAGACAACTCAGCCTCAACACCTCCACCTTCTCCCCCATTTTCTGCTGTAAATAATCGCTCGTTTCTCGCGCATCACAGGCAAGAGAACGACTGTGCTTTGCAAGATCACCAAGGCGACAAGGATCCGGAGCTGCAGCATGATGGTTTTTGCTACTCTTCAATACCACAAGGAGTCACCGCGGCAGCTGCAGCTGCAGCTGCAGCATCGTATACTTCACAAGAGTTGGCTATAGCGTATTCGATGGTCGCCTCTACACAGCAGCAATGGCCACTGCAGGAACCTCAGCAGACGCAAGGTAACACATAATGCTTCCTATTAAGAGTCGCTACATCTACCTTATACCTTTCGTTACTCCGTTACTCTGGAGTTACGGTCAACTCTGCAGAGTTGACTGTATATGAATAAGAGCCATGACATAAACCAGCAACTTTTTTTATCTATTATTGAGAGTGTGCTTACTTGGAGCGAATGAAGAAATGGCTCTTAATGGCAAAATAAGGGTTTGAGGGGGAGTGTGTTGCTGGTATCTCGCGTTTTTGTAAAGGCAGAGAGGAAGGGTTTCTCATAAAGTAATGCCCTCTTTTAGACACCTCTCCATCACTGGCCAAAGTGAACGAGTCAAGACCCAATAGAGACGGCACTGATGCACTATCATCCCTGCTGAAGGTATAAACGTAAAAGCACCCGACGCATTAATACAACAACCGTCCCGTCCTAAAATCGCTGTCTGTCATTTGCGATCGTCGTTATAGAGGACGATCCCACTGCAAGAGCCATACTTTCTGACAAGGCATGCAATTACATCGCAGCATACGCTATCGACCATGGGAGGAGGTACGCTGCAGTTCTTCATTATAGCCTTAAATATGGTACCGCTCGTGGGATGTTCAATCGTTATTAACAAAGTGCTCTGCTCCGATGAACCCCAGTGCTCTTTTCCCTGGATGAAGACCCCAAGGAGTTCAACCAGGACATGTATGTGGCCATGAGGAATAGAATCTTCGAATTGGAGGCGAAAACAGTCAACTATGCTCCCTTCAATCGATCCAGGAAGAGGTCAGTGGATCGCTCCGCCGATGAGTACCATGGGTACCACGGATATGGCCGTGAGTGTGGACATGGCGACGCATACAGCCATCGATATGAAACTGAGACCGGACATCACCTGAAAAAATCGATGTACCGCCACAGGCCCCATCACCACCTTCAAACACCGCCTGCGCAGGCATCTCGGCCGATTGCCATGGACGGAGTCCACGTCAATCGATCTACACATTCGTGTCCTTCCTGGTGCGCGCCAGAGACCTATATGTATGAGCTACATCATGATTTTCCGAGTCGGGGCCGATATTCACGCGCAGTCAACCGAGAATGGGATCAACAACGAACCTCAAAGATCAAGGTGAGTCCATACGTGGACCTACATCCATTCTCTCCGCCCTCGAGCAACGGTACTGCAGTACATGCAGCCTCACAAATTCGACCTCAGTCTTCAACGCGTCCATATCCTGCACAGCACGTCCTACCTGCAATACAACCGCGACCAATTCATCCTTCTAAACCTGAAAGCGCACTCCACGCCACGCATCGCGTGCATACTCCACAAACCATTTCGGTTTCCACGGTCAGTCATCCTTTACCACCCCACATACACCCGCTCAATCCAGACCACCAGTCTCCTCAAATGACGCAAGCCAACGCCACAGTTTTGCAGCAGCAGCGCCAGTCCTTTCACCAACGCCAGCATCGAGCTCAGCAGCAGGCGCAATCTGACTACTCTAGATCATATCATCTTCGCAAACACCTGCGGATGTTGGATCAGCAGCGTGATGCCCAGATTTCGAGGCAAAAACAGCACCAGGAGCAGCAAAAGGAGCAGCAGCAGCAGCAGGAGAAGCAGAAGCAAAGCGTCACTATTCAGCGACATTATCAACCCCATCAGCAAATGTACCCATATCACTCGACCTTACGGCCTCTTCCGATCCTGTCTCGCTCTGTCCCACATCTGCCACAAAGTGATCCTAACGCACGGTCCAGCGCACTTCATCAGCAGCATCAGGAAAAGCAGCAGTTGATACAACGCTATCAACTCCATTTCGATTATCAGAAGCAGCGCGAACTTTGCCAGCCCCAACATCAGCACCTTCAGAAAACCACCGGACAGTTCTCTCCGAGCTGGGCTGTGATAGAATCGCCCCTCAGTTCGCCACAGGAGACAACGACCTCCGAGCCTCATGTTACGAGAATGATTAGTCGCTCTATCGGTACTAAAGCTTCCAGGCCACTCGAATGCTTCAACTGCATGGCGCTTGATACATTAACCTGGCGACCCAAAGCTGAATCTCCCAAGGGCACCAATGCAGCCTTAGCATCGACTTCATCTGCTCGATTTACCCTCGGCGACGGACCTAATCTCCCAACTGGTGCCTCTTCGGTCTCAAATGGTGAAGTTCTATGCTCAGCCTGCATACAATACATGCAAAGCTATGGAAAATCCCGCCCGGTTCCGCCTTTCAGACTCAATTTTATGAGAAAGGTTCATTGTCGGTTTAAAAAAGAACTTTTACAACTGCGGTTCCAGGGCTGGCAGGACACCCAGATTCTGGAGATTGATGATCGCATGACCGAGCGAGAGTTCCGTACGTTGTTTTTTGCAGGCATGGAGGAGGGACTGGCCATCACAAGCTCGGCGCAAAGCGGAGAGCCCTCGAGTCCTAAATTATCATCCAACAGTATACTGGAACAGAATGGGGCATCAGTTGCTACCAATATTCAAGACGACGACGACGACGACGACAGAACCTTTGATTCACTTTCTACCGACGAATTGCGCACTTTCACAAGCGAAGCCTCGTTAGGTGATTTGTTCGGTCACCGATGGAAGATGGAACCAATTGTGGGATACACCCTTGTCCACTTTGGCGGCTCTGACAGAACGCGGATGGTGCCGATGAATCCTACTGTCTCCTCCTTGAGTATGCGTTTTTTGTGTGTCTGAGTTGGGTAGTTAGTTCTCAAGTATATCCCAGTAACGATTGATATCGGAGGCTAATATGGTCTTTCCTACGTTGGTTATTATACTAGCCGTTACGTACATTCGGAAGCTGGAATCGGTGAAATTTTCATTCAGAGTCCATGTCAACGGACTTTGCTTGTTGTCATCCGGTGGGGGCCCACCTGCACTGCACATGCCAGAGATGGCTGACGAAGAAGACTCTGAAGACGACCAGGAGGCACATGAAGCATTAGAAATCACTGAAGACCAGTACGATAAATTAGACACGAGACAAGAAAGAGATCTTTGATAAGGCCTTCCGGTCATTTTTATAGGCCACTGGACGGCTTTTTCTACGCAGAGATCCCAATGAAAGTATCTGTCCTGGCGCAATCAGTGTACAAGTCGTGTTCCCTATAAGGACGCATTGCTTCACTGGATAGTGATGGTGTCAAATGAAATCGTCCGATAATATTGCCATATTTAGGTGCCAGAACTCCGTCATCATAAATATGTGTCGAACGAGATCGCTACCCGATACTGTCCATATTTGGCTTGGCGCTCTCACTGAAAGGTCAAACGAATAAGAAGCTGAGCATAGCCACGCGTTCTTAAAAAACAATATAAAGGCACGCATTGTCCCACCTTCAATTGCTCCTTCGTCGAAACCAACGCCAGCCGTCCCCTAACTTCAAGCTCTGCACTTTTTCCCACCCCACATATCCGTGAGCTATGAAGCCTCAAGTGAAACCCAAGAAACCCCTCCAGAGCCGCCATCGGAATGTCGCAGGTGCCACTGATGGTCAGCAACAAGCAGCAGCACCTGCAGTCCCTCGCATGTTACGACGCACGACAAAGCAGTCGTTTATGGATGTCGATCTCCAATATCTGATGGCACTCGACCCGACAACCCCGGACCCCTTCGAGAACTCCTCCGCTGTCTTTGAAGACCCGCCTTCACTCTTCCGCCCTTTGCCTGCATCGATCATGGGCGCCAGTACTCCAGGTACAGGTCAATGGATGTCTACGGAGGCGATTCATTTGCAAAAGGAACAGGAGGAGCTCCGTGCGCAGTATCTTCAGTTTCTACACCAACTGCAGCAGAACAACCCTAATGGCTTCCTTGTTCACATGAACACATTCGCAGCCGAGTTCCCGCAAGAGTTTGTGCAGCTTCAAGCATACATCCGCTACCAGGAACAGATCATGGCGCAGCAGCGCGAAGAAGCCAGGCGTCAGGAGGAGATGCGACAGTACCAATTTCAACTAGAGCAACGACTTCGGCAGGAACAAGAACTACAGCAACTCAAGCAATTCCAAGAGCTGCAGTCGCAACAGGCACAAGTTCGAGAAATACAAGAACTCCTTCAGGAATGGTTGATGCGACGCCAACAGATACGGGCTACCAGCTTCCGCCTAAAGACAAGCAGCAAGGATGATGGCCTGGATTTAGCAGATGTGTTTACGATCGCGCTGCAAAAGGACCCAAATCTGGTAGAGAGGATGTTGACCACTTCGGGACCAGGCCAGGGGCTGAGTCTCTTGTTAACTTCGGCCCAGCAGCAAGAGTTTGCTCAGTTTCTGGATCAGCGCAGAATTCATGATTTGATGTCCCAGGAAAAGAAGAAACAGGACTTGACAGCTGCAGGCTTCAGCAGCTTTACTTTCCAGCCCCCGCAAGGATCTTCGTCATCATCGTCGGCTGCTGCGGCTGCTGCAGCTGCTGCAGCCAGTATGCTAACAGCGGGCCTGTGGAGCTCAAGCACGACTGGCCCATCGAGCAGCTGGACCGGTTCAGGATCTGGAGGCTGTAATGGGCTGGGCAGTGGCCAGGCCGCATTTCCTAGCAGATTCCAGCCTCAGATGACGAATGAGCAGTATCTGAAGAGAAACTCGAGGGGCTTCAGCCGCAAGTAGCAGCTGTCCCTCTGGCTTTTTTTTTTGAGAGGGGGGAGAGTCGTTCTTTATCAGGTGATGATTTCATCCATTTAAATTTTTGGCAGCCTTTGGCACGCCTGCACGCCTGAACCAAATTTTTGCACTTCTTTGCTCGAGATATGTAGAACCGACTCTGTCATCCATAAATATGCCCGCAATGTCCAGGGCCAGCCCCCAAATTTACAAAATGGCCCTTCGCTTAATGTCAGTAGCCTAGACAATGTACTGCGTTGTGGACATCGCCTTCCGATACTGAACAGTTCGGTTCATTATTCTCTCCGTGGGACGCTCTTCCATTGCCCGCCAGAATTGATGCAAGCAGAAGGGCGCGTACCTCAGATGCAATCAACCTGGTATCTTTTACTGTTGTGATGCGCCGGGCTGAGCGCCGTAACTCTCTGATATCTCATATCCCGTAATCCTATTGTATCCTTCATCCATTTTAAAGCTCAGCCGAGTTGCGCACAGCACTCTCGTCAAAGCTAATTTGTGAGTATTGGTCTCTTTAGGACCGCTAGACCTCGCCGTATTTTCCATACTTCTCTGCTCGTTTATTACCGCACTGTTTTTAATGACATCAATTCGCACATTTATATCGATGTAGCGTCGTTGTACTACGGATACATCATATCAACTCAGGTGTCGATTCTCTAGGATTCCAACGGGGAGAGAGCCCGAGTCCAAAACCAGATAGCTGCTGCTATCGCCCAGTAAACCAAAGCTCAGCTGAACGCGGGGACCACTGATGCGATGGTCCGTGGTCTTCACTGCAACTCTCCGAGACGTTTACCCAGACAAAATTGCCCTTCATCTGGATAGTCCACCCACTGCGCAAAAAAGGAGTGCATATAATGAGAGAACTGAAGTGAGCCTCAAGCGGCAGTGGGATGCCTACCGCTCCCTCTCCCATTCGACTCAAGCTCAGCAGCCACCTCTGACCCCAATTAACGCCCCCTCAACATCCATTCCAATTATCGTGTTAATGCCGCTCCTCTCATGGGCATTGTACCTCCACCAACACCGATACTTCACTCTGGGAAGAGCAAGATTATCAAGACAATCTAGAAGACTAAGTGCCTCTGGCAAACCGCCAGGGGATGCGTCTCCGCGACCGACCTCGTACTCCGCCTCAAAAGCCTTGGCTGGGATATTTGCCAATGTACTGGTGAACCGTACGTGTGTACCTCTACCCGACCCTGGCTTGCGTGTGTCGCGATAAGCGACTCCGACTACCTTTCCACATGATCGATGCTCTCTTCTGACAAAGCCCCCAGAACAGGTCCGAGTTTAACGCATCGAAGTCTCGATCGATATCCTTCAATGGCTTGATCTCAGTGCAGTGATGTGGATCATAGCCGGCATAGTCACCAAAAATGACCACGTCAAGGATTTGAGAGGGTACGGTCTCACCAAGAGCATCTCAAATGCGCATAGTCTTACAGTGCCTCACCCTCTGCAGGGGATTGCAGTGCTATTACGAGTAAGCTGAATTCGCCGAGCCCACATCCGGCCAGCCATTACGATGTCGCCTTCGACGTCTTCTTCCTGAAGTATGAAGACCAGGCTACCTTCAAATCGGATACTCATTCCGCTCTAATGGGGTTTGATGGCCTGATGTACGACGCCGTCCTGGAGGTGGACGCTTTTGGCACGGTTCAAGGCCATGAGACATCGGCCCTCCCCTTCCCCTCCCATTGGCCCGGCTCCTAATCCTCCCGCCACACAGACAACATGAAATGAGTACATGACACTGAACCAGTACCAAGTCAAGACAAACCGAATTCTGCCAACCCCGATTCAGGCATCCGCCCCGGTCACTTTAATGTCAACTGAAAATCTAATGAAAGCGAGAAAGCAGAAGCCAAGCCCATATCCAACCTATCGCCTAGACGTGCGAGGGCTATTCCCTCAGAGATCGTTGGCACGAGCACACCTAAGTCCAGGAATCGAACAACCATCATGGACACGGCTCCCAATGCCATCTTTGACAGTTGTATTGAACTACAGCACTCTTTCGACACAACTGAGGGCCAGTTTGTCCGATGTCATGAATGCTGACGAGGCAGAGCGGGGCCGGTTCCACAAACATGTCATTCACACACTTCAAGAGATGGTATGTGTAGCAACAGACGCAGCCAGATGCGCTCAGCAGGCGATTGTGGCGCACATCGGTGCTGTCACGGCAGCCCGCCCTGGTCTGACACGAGCACACATCGACTACAGGAGGGATCAACTTATCCAGCTTAGCACCTTCCGCGACAATACCTTTTTTCAAAGCATCCTCAGCGACATCATGACCATTCGCGACCAAGGGCGCACAGCAGTAGGAAGACCACGAGAGGATTGCTATAGTAGCAGCCAGACACATCCGCCCCTTTAGAGCCTCTTGCAAACAAGAGTCCGATATAGAGAATAATATATGATGCTCTCGTCGCTTCTACCAATGATTGGGACAGTTAACTCTTCCTTTTCGACGTATCGATCGCACAGTGGCCCTTGGCACGATTTCTCACGTCAAGGGTAATCAAAACGCCCTTTGCGGCCTATGTAAACATATTTTGATGCGTGAGTCCAAGCCAGAGCCTGTCGTCTATCTCCACTATGAGCTGGAAAGAACGTACGACCCTGGTAAGTGGGCTAAGGCAGATCATATCCTCGAGGAATATATCCATTGTAATGTACTGTGAAGGTGAAACTCTGATCGAAATCTTGACCAGATTTTTTTGTTGGTCCTTGCAATAAAATAAGGTTTTACCAGTGGAAATAAGTAACGAGAGAAGAGAGGGGTCTTTAATGGCCCCGCCAGGAAGGCTCTTTTATAGCTGCCCTGGCGGGTTATCAAAATGTATGTGTCTTGCTAAACTATATTATGTACGTATGTTCAAATATGGCACAGTCCTGACGGAGGAAGGGATACATCAAGATAGCAATAGAGTCCAGCGATGCGACCGAGGTCCCATCAGTATCGGGTGCACAGGTTCTTCAAAAAAAACTCAGCCGCTCGAGTCATTCGCCAACGGCACCCAAACTGAACGACGAAGCCCATAGTAGGGAGTTTGGCGCGATCAGGAGCAAAGACTTTGGGACACGCCTAACGTTCATGCTGCAGCGGAGGTTTTATCAAAGAGCGAGGATTCCTTTTCGACAGCCGCGAACGATGGGTGCTATCGATATGCCGCCAAAAGCCACAGGGCAGTCTGGAGAAACATGGAAAGATTCAACCCAACGCGGAGAGTCTGTGCCAAGTTCGCACGAGTCGTGTGCAAGTATATAAAGAACCATGTCCAATAAGAGCAAAGCAGTATATGGACGCGCGATTTTTCATTGTAGGGATACTGTTTGTCTGAATATTTTGCGTTGCAAAGCTTGACATAACTGTGCGGGCTATTTCTACATTCATTGCAGCTCCGCAGATGGTATCCGTTAAAAACGGCTGGCGTGCCAGTTATAAACGGCAGCATATCTTGCAGAACACCAAGAAGGCGTTGTTCCAGTACAAGGAGAAGCGCCCCAGATAGGAACCAGGGATCGCCCCAGGTCTTTTTATCGAGAACGTAGGATCGGTCTTCGGCAGTCGGGATAAACGAGTGAATGTAGGAAATATTATTGCACTGTTGCAGGAATTTACAGAAAGTCCAGCGGAAGGGGTCCGCAAAGCCTAGAGACTCCCACGCCACCGCTGCAATTGACATTTCTTGCGCATCTATAAATTTCGATCCCAATAGAAGGGGGTTGGCTCCACTCTCACGCGACCATCAGGACCAGCACTATGCTGGATTCATCATCGCCCGCGATACCAATAATAGACGTCGCGGGAGTTTCTGCGCTGGAAGCAGGCCTATCTGGGCTCTTGCGTGTCCGATTTTACCAAATATACATATGGATTGTAAAATTATAGGCAGGTCAATGTTTATGAACTGTCAATTTATCCGACGAAAATGCAAAAATCCATGTACACTATGTCACTGTTCATCCTCCTCCTTGTCAGCCCCGCATCCCCGCTTGTCGTGTCGCTTCAACTTGTCTAGCCTTCCGAAACGCTCGCCGCACTGGGCACAGCCGTAGCGACCCACCTCCTCATGGACATTTCGAACGTGGCGAACATAGTCTGTCCTACGCTTGAAGGGACGTCCACAAATCCCGCATAAAAATGCCGGAACCTTTAGGTGGCAACGAGAATGAGAGGCCAGCTCACCCTTCGTAGGGAATGCCTTTTCGCACTCTGGACATTGGAATCGCCTTGGAACAGGCGCAACGCCCGCCGCTCCTTGCTCTGACGTTCGTGAAGTACGAGGTTCATATGGCGTCTTGCGGGCACGGAAGGTGGTTGATCGGTTTGAGCGCGGGGTGGGCTGTTGCTGGAATGCAAAATGGTCGTTATACATCGGCAGTGGTCCTGCTGAGTAACGATTGTCCGTCGTTCCAGAAAATCCATAGTGAGGCGTAGTAGGAGGCGTAGGCGTGAATGAGTTTGCAGTCTCTGGGTTCGCGTACGCTGATGAGTAAGATCCAGTTGAGATGGGACTGTGAGATCCAACACTGTAGGGAGAGGGAATCTGATTTTGGCCATGATAGAAGGACGAAGGTGGGGAGTTGGGTACAGGATACTGATTGTCAACAAACGAGCTCATCGAACGCTGAGGGAAGGCTGCAAGGACCGTTGGGGAGCCTGACGGATCTGGGCTTTGGCTACAGTAATGATGTGCTTGAGGAGAATGGGCAGAGACCGCACCCACAGCAAACACAGATTCATCCATTGGCTTAGCATTTCCAGCATGCTTGAAGGGATATGGCTGTGTGTGATACTGAGGAATATTGTATGAATAAGGCATAACGTCCTCGAAAATCAGGCTCGGCTGACTCATAGTCGAAAAAGATGTCATGGGCGACATGGGCGAGGACATGGTGGCCAGGGTTGGAGCCATGCCAGCAGGGACTGGGGAGCCATCCGAGGGGGTCATAGGAGAGAGCGAAGCGACCGGCGAGACAGGAAAGGTGGAGACGGGCAGTCCCGCAGATGTTTGGAAGGACTGGAGGGTAGGAGAGTTATCCTGGAATGAATAACCTTGGTACTGGTCAGCTGGATTTTGCTGCTGCTGTTCAGAGCCATTGAGAATCCTGTTAAGGCGCATTCTATCGCGAGGCTGCTTGGCACCCGTACCAGCCGGGGCAAGGTCTTTATCATCCTGAGCATAGAAATCCCTAGGATCAGCTCCCAACTTGGGGACTATGAACATCTCCTCCGCGTAGGCACCGCCGCTACAGGTTCGCTGATGGAGGCCTTGACGGGAACCAGGAGCGCCAAAATCCATCTCGCGTCCGATGGGTGCAGGCGTGAAGTAGGTAGTTCCAAAAGACATAATGCAGTCTACAGAGTATGCAGAGAAGAAAGTTGGAGGAGGCGTCAGCCAATTAGCGGAGATTCGATATATTAGTTGGGTTAAGACATGGCGTATGAGGCTCCCCCTTCAAAATTCACCCGCACCCAGGGCAACCGCGTTAGACAGAAGGGGCAAAAAAGGAGACTGGCCAGCCAGTCAACGAGATTTTTTTGAAACGCCAGGAACAAGGTTGGGTGTCAAGCAAATAATAATGCACTTCAGGAGCTATATTCCTGAAAGACAGTACTGAATGGGCTGCTTACCAACTTATTCAATGATATACAGGCTTGTTGAACGTGCTCGGATAAGTAGTGAAGCTGAAGAAAATGGGCGGATAACTGAGGCTTGAGACGACTACGAAGGGCGTGTAGGCTGTGCGCAATTGTGAAGACAGGGTCTGGAGAAAAGGGAGAATTGGACGTAAAGACTGAGCAAGTTGGAAGGGATAGTGAGTGAACGCTATTGGGATTGCAGTCGATGCAAAGTGGGGGGTTCGTAAAGGAAGGAGGGAAGCGGGGAGAAGGAGTGGGTGTTCTCTATGTGAGGGCGTCGATTGTGGGTTCAAAAGTGGGTAAAGAATATTTGTAAACGGAAATGATGAAGGGCGGTAGCGAGGATCAAAAGGCTAAGGATTCATAAGACAGCGAAGAAAGGAAAGGATTGCGATGAATGGAAGTGAAGGGTGATAGGCGGGCGGGAGGGATGAGACGGTGGGTAAGAGGAAAAGGATTGCGCGAGAGAAAGGGAGGAAGCAGCGAGCAGCGAGAAGGTAAAGAGAGAGAGAGAGAGAGAAAGAGAGAGAGGGGAGGAAAAAAAGGAGAAAGGTTTTTTGCTGTTGTTGTTGTGGGCATAAGCAACCAGCCGACGGAGTGTCCTAGACTATGTGAAGAATGCGGACAAGTATAGATTACTTTCCACCGTGCAAAATATAAATTATGGATGTGATAAGGTACACACCCACCCCTTTGCCATTGGGCCACTCCATTAGTACAGTCCACTCAATTCATTCGATTCATTCAGTCCATTCAATTTATTCAGTTCATTCATACACTACATGTACGGCTGGATGGGTTAGGTCTTGTGCGGAGAGTCCGTTTCGGCCTAGCCTCTTGACAAAGGTTTGCGGCATCCGTCTGTTTGTTTATGAACTTGCTTGCCTTGGGCAGAGAGGCATCTGTCCAATCAGACGAGGGCATGCGCTGGCATGACCTTCGGCTTGCGCGCTCTTTCCGTGTCCTCTGACGCAACAACAACTGCAGTCGTAAAAAGCAGCTGCAAGAAAGCAACAAACAAACTAATCCAACTAAACCTTGGTGGATTGGCAATCAAAGATCTTGAGCACACATACCTTTACAAGCCGGTTTGCGCTCATCCTTAGCCCCCTCCACCGCTAGGACTTCACACTCTCCTATGCGCATCATCTCAGACACAATCCATTCTGTGTGTGTATGTGTGTGTGTGTGCGCGAGAATACAGCGTTTGCACACAGTCAGCTTGATTCTTCAGGTACCAGAGTGTGTGCCGATGAGTGAGAGGCGCATGTCGATTGGATGATTTTGAGAACAAAAATAGCCTTAATTTAACACTATGTGTCTATAGCCCATTTTTCGATTGCATTATTCATTATTCCGCGTTTGGCGCTTCAACGCAGAAGGGGCCAACGATGGCATGCAGCCTACACATGGAGAGAATGCTCCTGTCCGCAACTATTATCCCATTCTAGGGCCGTACCTGTTCCTGAACAGACGCATTAACATCAAAGACGACGCCATAACGCAAAGACAGGCACTGGATTAGTTAAAATGTACAGAGCGCAATGATTCATTTGCTTTGGGACACTATGCGCCTCCAGGCAACATGAAGACTACGAGTGGTACCTGATGTCGCAAGGTGATGACTGATGAGGGAGTCGTGCTTCGCCTGCATCGCAATGATGAGCGCTCGTCATCTTCGGCTCTCTCTTCCTGAGGTCTGCAGAGCGCTCTGCGTCCAGGTTGGGCTGCCGCTGAGTCTGAAGTCTCCAGAACAACGGGGGGGAGGCAGCGGGAACAGCGGGAGCACCTCTGGGAAAAGCGGGATAATTTACTGAACCAGAGGAGCATCGGCTATCGCCTTCCCTGTGCCTCACACCTCTTTCTTCATTGCTCTTTCTTCACTTCTCATCTTGGAGACTGATTCGTGATCAGCCAACACACGATCTTCAGGTAATTATCCGATCTGCGTGAAAGTTCTTACTCTTCAGGTACGGTATTCTAAGGCAGCAGCAACTAATATGCAATTAGCATCCAGGGTGCAATCGCGTCCTCCAATGACATCAAGAGCGCAAGCTCCAGCAGGCGCTGTTGCGGCCACTCAGGACTGCATGGTTGGATTTGATATTCACGGTACTCTGCCCAGCACCTCCATTGATGATGGGATAATCAAGCGAGGGCGAGGGCGACCGAGGAAGAATGCTATACCCAGTCCGATAACATTACCTTGTCAACCATCATCAGCCATGCAATCAGGTATCGTACGCTTGCGTCGAGCCCATCAGCATGTCCCAGTTCCAGTATCTGGAGTTGCGAATCGAGGTAGACGGAAGAAAGAGCAGGATCTATCCCCCTGCGAATCCTGTTCAGCGCAAGGCGGCATGTTCAAAGTGGGAACACTCATGGTTTGCAAAGAGTGCGCGAGCCTGATGAAAGCAGCCGCTGGTAGTGGGTTACGTCGCGCTCTACAACCATGTTCAGTGGTCACGGCATGGAGCAAGTCCTCGGGAGTCTCTGATTCCAACGGCTTGACAACATTGTCGTCCAAGAAGGCTAGCAAGGTAGCTCGTAAGCGCTACGATCAATGTCAAGGTAGGGTGCGTGAGCTGTGTTTCATGCTTGTTGCCGCAACATCTCAAGGTTATAAACTCACAAAGACTAGGCACTGGTGTACTAGGCAAGATGTCTTTGGCAGGCGGGTCTCCAGACGCATTGACAATGCAGCTTGGCTCAACGGATCTGGAAAGGACTGGTATCAAAAACATGGATAGTATGGGCTTTCTTTTCCATTTTATATTTACCATTTTGCACTACTGACAAATCTTATCGGGGGCCTTTGCATACTAACTTCTCTCTCTCTTTCTCTCTCTCTTTTTCAGGTAAGGAGGTTGAAGACATAAAGCAGCATCAGCCCGATGTTCCTTCAACCACAGCAGCAAGACGTGGCAGGAAGCCAAAGGCGGTTGGCGTCGGCCGTGATTCACCCATAGTTCAGCTCTTCAAAGTTCCAGGACCAACAGTCCTCAGCAGTGGTCGTCCTCCAGCCTCAATTAAAGTCGTGTCTTACAATACCACTAGTGTTGGCGCAAGGACTCCATCGGACTTCCAGACTACAGGCGCATTTCTCACGAGAACAGCATCCAAGCTGCTGGGTGGCCACGCGGTTACTGGAGTCGACTGCAATATCCACGGATACGCTTACGGCCGGGCGGTTAAAGTTCAAAATGTTGACGGAACATGGTATTTCGGTTCCATGGTCAACCTGGAGAACGGAAAGATCAAAATTCATTTTGATGGATGGGGTTCTGAGTGGGACGAATGGATTGCTTCCGACAGCAAGCGCTTGAGGATATTGAACGTGGATGAAATCCAGCACAAGGAGTCTGTTTTACAGGCCATGAACAGCGATACATACTCTTCAATATCACTTAATGAGAGCAATTTGGAGAGGGCATCTCCCTTGGCAGCGTCATCGGAGACAGGAATTCAGCATGATGGAGCACAGGGCCAGCGAAGGACAGGAAAACCAGTCAAGCGCAGAACGATGCAGATGGATCAAGAGGACAATATCGTAAACCCTGTTGCACGCATTGTCAACGTAGCTAAGCGCCAGAAAAAACCTGCAAAACCGACTGTCGGAATCCCGCCTTATCAAAATTTCACAAACGAGGCAGCGTCAGGATCGCGACGTACACAGGTCCCAATTCTAGGTCCGGGCTCAACCGACAGAGACGGCGGCGGATGTTCTGAGAAGCTCACCACTCAGCCTACAACCGAACCTCATAGTGTGCAAGAGCAGCAGATGTCGACGGCCGCAGACGTTCGGAGCACCTTATCAACGATCCTTATCGAGGCCCAGATTCATCCCCTGGACAAGTCTCAGATGCGGCATGACTCTACCATCCAAAAGACTGATTCCGATCATGTCTTTATTCAGTACGATGGACAGGCGAGAAATTGCCAAGGACGGGCGGATGTCAGTAATGGATATCCAAAGCTTTCCGGATTCAAACCAATACATATCACAAATGCAGATCACCCTACACTGAAGATGCTCTCATCAGTCGCCACCAAAAGCGAGCTTAAGCACAGCATTTACCCAACTGCTGAGCAACTGCATTTACCTTTCGCTTCAAGCACAAGCACGTCTTCGGAACTGGCGACCTCTACTTCTACATTTAGTCTTGGTCATGGGCCTGCTTTACCAGACCAGCCCCTTGCGCCCTCAAGTGACATCCTGCACGAGCTCTCGATTTGTAGCGACAATAATGAAGACCTTGCCTGCACGTTGGCGCCATTACATGATCGGAACTATCGCGATCTTAATATGCGCAACCCCAAACACGGATACTGGAGCGATCGCGGAGATTGCGATGCACGTGATGGCGCGGGCAACGGAAGAATAGGCACCAAAGATATCACACCGGCGGCTTCATCGTTTCCTTCATTCGGAAATCCTATCCCTCTGGTCCTTGCTCCATCGATCATTTTTGAGTTCAAACACCTGGACGAAAAAAAGGAGATTATATCCATCATCCAGCAAGTTCTTGGCACTGGGCTAATAACGAACAGGGCTGTCGAGACTCCACGCACGAATCTCATACAGTCCGGAATCGCGATAAGGAGGAAGAACGCTGCCCTCAGCGTAAATGGTAATGGTAATAGTCAGGAAGAACGCAGTTCGAGTCAAGGAGATGGCGCCGGCAACGGTGGGGAAAGCGACTGTGATAATGTTCCTCAAAGAACGTTTACAAAGACAAGAGACCGGTTTGTAGCGCTATTGGAGACTCGACATGACGGCAGAGGTCTTCGATCCTTGGAAATGAGGAATGCCACCGAATCCAGCGTGAAGAAGAATGAGTCCGCCTTGCAAGAGGTCTTGCATATGGCCACTCGAAACATGAGTGACACTCCATCGATTCGATTTACTCGCCAGATTGCCTATGATTATACGACCGGAAGCGTTCCTTCATTTGGCAGCTTTGAGCGGCGGAGGCAGGAGACCGTGAAGGCACTTTCTACACGTAGAGAAGCAAACCAGCAACCAAGGGGTGCACCTGGCACGTCGAGTGCATTCATCGGTGGAGTCACGTTCAATGAAGCTGGCCAGGTTGAGACATCCCCTTCATTGAAGATCACGAGCGTGAAAGGGAAGCACCACAAAATCAACAAGAAATGCAAGGGTCAGAGAATGCTGAAGACAATGAAGGATCTCGACTCCATCCACGATGATGACATTATGGGAGCCAATGGAGTCTTTCAAAGTTTGCGGAGTCTTACCCGGTCCAAGAAACGAAAGAGAATTCTGGAAGATGGCCACATTGCGTTTCTGAGACAAGCCATGGTGCCCGGCGCTAGGATACAGGCGAGAGATCGGCAAATGGACTGGCTGACGGCGACCATACGGGATATCAAGAACAGTCGTGTATTGGTGCATTACGAGGGCTACCAAGACTTTTTTAACGAGTGGATTGATATCAATAGTGAACGGCTTCGATTCGACTCATCTTTGGTGCAAGAAACGCTAGTGCAGGCCAACAACGAGCCAGCGGACAATTCCAATTTGACCCTTGACGCCAGTACAACTCTACTGCAGGACTCATCGCTGCTGGAGTCTGATATAACGACTTTGGCTGACAGCGTGCCATTAGAAGAGGCTGCCATGGATGTTCACTGTATTCAATGTCAGGTCAAAATTAGCCAGTTTCGGTAAGTTCAGTATTGGCAATGGCATTATTATAGCAGTCGCTGCCCATTATCCTTCTAGGGCAACTGACTAACCCGTTGCTGCTGTCCTAGTATTTACTGTATGTATTGCGAAGTAGATGCCAACTATCAAGAGCAGGGACGAGGACCGTTCAATCTTTGCCTTTGGTGTTTCTCAAATGCATTTCCTGAACATCATGACCATCCGCGATCATCATTTGCCACCAAAGTAATAGTTGGACCACGTGGGGTTCGTCCCGTGAAGGGAGGGATCATTACTCGCTTTGAAAAGGATCCATTGGATACGGCTTACAAAGAGTCTGAGAGTTTGGAAGCCGTCTCTAGACGGGCAGTAATGTTCGATGCAATGATGGATTTGGAGAACGACCAAGGCTTTGTGTACCTGGAGCAGTGGAAGAGCCGAAGAGTCTGTGCCTTCTGTAATGACGATGGCACATCTAAGGATCGATTTATAGGACCCTATCCGTTTATATTGGCATCAACGAACCGCTATGGCCACGAGAAGAAGAGGCATTTCTGGGCCCATGATGCGTGTGCGCGGCATTCTCCTGAAGTGATCCAAGGAAAGGACGGTACCTGGTACAATGTCACGGTGGCAATGCGGCGCGGCCGAACCGTGGTATGTGGCTATAAGTGTTACTCAAGAGTTATCCTAAACAAATCTAGGATGTATGTGCTTTCGCTGATACATTTTTTCAATTGGTAGAAATGTGCCTTATGCAAGGAGAAGGGCGCAACCATCGGATGCTTTGATCCCAAGTGCGGGAGGAGTTTCCATGTCCCCTGCACAAACAAGCCAATGTCACATTTTGAGGACGGCGTGATCTTCTGGTGCCCGCAGCATGAACGTGCTCTTTTGCAAAGAGGTCAGTCAGCTTGCTGTGTTGTATGGATTTCCACAGTCAAGAGCACCAAGCATTTATTTATTATGTCTTCTTTATCGAACAGATGCATATAATGAGACATTTAGCTGCGACAAGTGCTCCAAGATTCTTGGGGTGGACGCCTGGCAGACATGCATCAAGTGCAGCGATGATTTCTTTCAAACGTTTGATTTATGTCAAGAGGTACGGCAGTTGTATGCTCCTGACAGGATATACTTCATTAGCTAACAGATGGAAGTCAGCTAATGCTACATTGTTCACTATTCACAGTGCTTCTCGCATGACCGGATCGACCATGAGCATGACAGGCAGGATTTCAAGAAAACATGTAAGTTCATTGATATCGTCATCATACTCACCCATGTCTGGTCGGACATCAGCTGGCATGTTAACACCAACTGAAAACATTAGCACTTGAGCTCATGTACAAGGAGCAACTGTTAAGAGAAGCGGCGCAAACGAGCGAGCAGGGTATCTCTACGCCTCTAAAAAGAAAGCACCTGGGCTATAAACCCAAGCCAAGAAGCCTTTCCAGAGTTGTTTGTTCGTATTGCTGGTCGGCAGCTTCTACAAGATGGAGAAAAGGTACGTTGGGACCATGCTGCCCGATGTATCGATATCCCGACATGATTTAATTTAACTCTAACGGACCTATTTTCGTCAGGATATAACGGTGTGCTCTTGTGCGAGGCTTGTTTTTTAGCGGGGCCAATAAATGAGGTACCGATGCAGCCAGACCTTGGAGCCGCGCACATATCAGAGTCTTTTGAACTCAATCAGTTGCCTTCCAAGCTGGCTGAATCGCCAGAGGACGCTGATTGGGGGGTGGGAAAATATGCCACTTCAGCAGAGGACTATTCTCACAGCCCTTACTTGACACGCACGGCTGTATCTGCAGATCGATTTGATCATTCATCCTCGCAAGCAGTCTACCTTGACTCGTATGGACCAGCGGAGCATCAGCTTTACTCACTCCCAATCGATACCACGTACTATGACATTCCTGGAAGAGCACCAAGGTGTATGTTACATAGGCACACCTGCTTTACGAAATACTATAGATGTGATGGTATCTGATACACTGTTCCTCTCCCCATTCCCACGTCAATAGGGGCCACGCATTCCGGCACGGACTATCATGGAACATGGCTGCCACAGACAGTGCGGAGGTGATTATTGTGTTGGCAATGCTTAGAAAATGTTTCCAGCACAGTCAATAAGCAGCTTACGCTCATCTTGCTACTCCGTTAATAATAGGGCCGTGACAAAATACACCAATCCAAATGACAAGATCCTCTCCAATTTTCTGGGACGAGGGACAGATGCAATCGAGTGTTTCCTTTTGGGACGATGGTGCGGTTTACACTATGTGGTTCATATGTTGCACAGAGGTAAATGATTGAGCGCAGCCATTGATAAGATCCTTTGTTTCTTCTTTTTGCATAGCTGCACGGCTGTCGATATAAACCCTGTAAGAAACGCGTCGTGATAGCCGGTGCTGTTCTCTAAAGTCGGAGCCTCATTTGACCATCTTACCATGGCACGCGCGTGCTCATTTTAGGCAGCCATCACGTTATCAATCCGAAACTGCTCCTTTGCGATTCCTCCGGGTGGCAATTTCAAGGCAGAGCATCGTCCAACTATCCTACAGGCAGACTCTCGAAAACTGTCAGGGCCGCTCTTTGAAAGCGAAAGTTTTGATCATGTTCTGTCGCATCCCCCATATAAGGACTGCGTAGCCTACTCGACGCATATCGATGGTAAGGCCGCACAAGAAATGCTACTCATTGTCAACTAGGCTGATTTTTAGATGCCAAGGTCCGCACAGCTCACAGCTCAATACATTCTGTATATGCGTCAGGCGATCTGTCACGTTTCGGTAATGCGGAGGAGTTTCAACGCGAAATGAGCTCGGTTATCAGAGAGACATATCGGCTCCTAAAGATGGGCAGACGATGCACGTTAGGCATCGGTGACAACCGTGAGCATTGCTTCTATATCCCCGTTAGCTTTCAATTGATTCGGCAGTACATCAACAAGGGCTTCGAGCTCGAAGAGCTGATTGTAAAACGTCAGCGCTATTGCGCCATGTTTGGACTGGGCACCTATCTCTGCGTGCAGTTTGATTTCTTATGCTTTACGCATGAGTTCATTGCCACTTTGCGCAAAATACCCAAGGACGAAATCGATACCATGATATTATATCCAGGTAATACACAATTTGGAAATCAATCTCGATAACATGAATCTACAACACGGGTTTTAATTCTTTACTAATAATCGAATCGAGAACTGGCAGATTTTACGCTGCTCCAGCATGTTGCCATCAAAAGCACAAAAAGGGCTATTCCCAGCTGCCCGATTGAGCGCAAGAGTGTAGTGATGGGGTCAGTGTGGACCTTTAAGCCCACCGATGAGTATGACTTTCCAACTCTTTGCGTATCTAGAATGGTATGAGCACCAGTGTCTGCAGCATAGTTACACCTATCTGTGTTTAGTGTTAAGCCCTGCTTATGCATGTGAGTTATCATGATTATGATGAACTTAGGTGGAGCGTTTCGGAAGAAACGGCGCTAACTGGGAGGAGTTCAAGCTGGATTTCAAGGTTGAAGAAACTAAAGAAACTCAAGATCAACAATGGGCTGAATATGCAGCTGGTACGTCCACAAAAAAAAAATTAATAGCAATAATGATAATAATAATAATAATAATGAAAAAGAAAAAAGATGACGAAGGAGTACTAACATATGGTATAATCCGATGTTTCTGTAAAACCAGATATTCTTCCTCCTGAAGAAGAAGAAATGGTGTCCTATGAACGAGATCGACTTCAGCAAATACAAGAAAACAACAGGATGCTCCTCGCCCTGGTACGCGTAGTCATATTCAAACGCGAACTATGATTTGCTTTTGGACCGTGTCATTCGGCAAAATTTTGCTCACGCTATCTTTGTGAATATACCTCTGGGATTCGAACGTATGTAGGGCCTTATCACGGATTTGAGCGAAACATCCGATGATATTGCGCACCAGGAAAAAATCTCCAAGGACAGTCCCTGCTACCCGCCGCCCGCAATAACGGCTCTTCGGATGGTGGCACATATTCCAGGAGCACGCTTGAAGGCCCACCATATTCCTGTCTATCGCACTGCAATCATGCATTTGGCCATGGAAGCGCTAGAAAAGTTGCCAGTCACCGGCGTATTTATTGTAGGAACGCAGGATATGAGAGCCGAGAACGGAAAGCTGATGCCACTAAGCATGCTGATTCTAGAAGACGTTATCCGAGTCGTAGGAGATGACTGTCTGAAGCTTAAGGAGCTCGGTAAGTTGTTCATAAACCTTACAGCCTTTTTTTTATTTTATTTTTCGCTCATGCTGACGAAGTTCTATTATCTCCTCTGAAAAAGTCGCGATGGTGCCGGATGGATATCAGAAAGACCGCCGAAAAATTACGTGCTTGGAGGAGTACCATGAAGAGATCTGCTCACCAGGCGATGAATGCCCATCTGAGCATTTGCCTATCGTCCATGTAAGCTGGAAGATATTCAGTCGAGAACCTTCAACATCGTTGTTGTCTGTTAGAAATGTCCTCACGCTCTTATTTTTTTTTTACAGGCGTGTTACCTCGTATTTACGAAGGTCAAAGATAGACCTTAGCCCTTATCTTCACCAAGGCACAGCCAGTAACGCTTTCAGCTTTTGCTCAATAATAAAATATGACAGGATCGCTATGTTTTTTATTGAATGTTTCATAGCTTCATTGATACTGTCGCCTGGTATGACTCTCGAATTCCGATAAAAGCTCCATCCTTGAATGCGTGGGAGGGCGAGCCCGACCTGCAGACATAAGTCTATAGCCTCGCTCAACAAATTCTTCCTCGTCTTCGTCCTTGAAAACATCAGCGTGTTTATCTCCCTTCCATGAGCCGTCCCACGTGTCATCGTGAAGACCCTTGATGTTGTTTGGCGGATCAAATGTGTGGTTGCCAATTCTACGACGATCGTAAGACGTAGCACCTCTGCGTGCGATAGCCAGTGTCACTGCAAAGGAGAGCGATCCACGAGATGAGTCGCATTTTCCTGGTAGACGATGAAAATAGGCGTCGGACGATCCACCACGTCCACGGGCCGCCAGCGTTGCTGCAGCGGGTGCTGCAGAGGGCGTAGACGAGTAGGAGGAGACAAAGTGAAATAGTCCTGGTTTGCCAAAACTTCTGCGCTTGTTCCTATTGTCCCTCCCCGACTGGTCCTCAAGGCCTCCTAAACTTGGCGTCTCCGACATGCTGCTGGTATCAACAAGGCATGACTGCGATGAAATACCTTCGTTGCGTGTGAGATGGGCGGCGAGAGACTTAGATCTGGACTTGCCCCTTAGCGGCCAGGAGAGCAGTGGAGAGGAATTCTTTAATTTTTTTTCCTGCACGACCTTCTCTTTTTCAGCGGGCTCGACCGTCTTCTCCCTGCCCTTGCGGCTGTCTCCTTCCTTCTCCTCGCCATCGTCCATCTTCATTTTCTTCTTTTCCGAGCCTCGGCTCTTGGAATTGCCCGCCTTTCTTCCTAGCGCGAGAGCCTTCGAAGGCGTCATCTTTGACAAGTAGCTCGAGGCCGCCGTTTGTGTATCAAGGACCGTTTGAGTGCATGGAAGGGCAAAGAACTTGCCTGCATCCTTTCGATGTTGCGCCTCAGCGGCAATGCATTGCTCCAGGAAAGCGTCCGTGGTGTCAAACTCGACTCCGACTTCGAATTCGCCTCGACTGCTGTAGCCTCCGCCGCTGAATCCACTAGAGCAGCCTCCATGATGCGCCGCGTTGAGACTTTTTCGACTAGATTTCGACACAACAGAGTGGAGTCCCATTGATATTGGTCGAGAATCCGACGGTTCATTTGAGGAGGAAGGCTTCATCGTCTCTGCCCATGCCTGTAAACGCGCTTGCTCCGCCAAGTATTCCTGACTTGAATTCCGTTGGAATGACGGCCTTGACAACAGGCGACTGCCTCTGCGCTTTCCCACGCTGCTCGAGCCCATTGCTCCTTCTCCATCCAAGTCTATCTCTTCGTCCACACGCTCCTCCTGGCTCTTATCGTTGTCGCTGTCGCTCAGTCCAGCGAAAATGTCGGGTTCATCGCCCCAAGTCTCGTCCAACGAGCGCTGTCGACGATGGTCGTCCCGTCGTTGACGCCGTAAAACAATGTATTCCGGATTCACAATCCAACACATCCTGGCAGGGTCAAAAATCATCTTGCCTGCAACTTGCGTCCGCTGCTTTGAATACTGGCTCATGTTGGAGATCAACGCTGGTCGATTAGCACTCACAGTTGACAGGTTCATGGTATACAAGTTAGCTGGTGAAGTGGGAAACTCGGACGGTGCACACCCATCATCTTCATCCTCAAATTCATCGAGAATGTCGTCATTTCCGTTCCACATCCTATCCTTGGGACTGTAGACCATTCCGGAAACTTTGCGCACCCGCGACTGTGAAAGATTCCGTATCAATGTGGGGCCATTAGATGTCCTTTTCCTCTTCTTTTTCTCTGGCAGCTATATCAACAATAATAAGAAGAAAAATTAGGGATGAGAATCAAAAAAGAGCGAAATGTGCCCGTGCAGTAGTTGTTATCTAATTACCTCGGCAGGCTCTGGCGCCGTTGCAGCCTGTCCAAATATGTCAAATAGCGACTTCCTTAAAGATTTGGATTTGCGGATCTTCGACGGAGAGGGTTGCTCGCACTCGGTGGCCTTCGCTGTCAATACAGAATTGAAATAGGTCACAATGTAAGATCGGTGCTTCGCAAAATTGCCAGGGACCTTCCAAAGAGCTCCATTGTGCAACGTTACCTTCCGGCTTGTGAAATTCCTTGAAGTTAGCTATCGACTGAGGCTTTCGTAACCATGCTGCTACCCTCTCCGTCGAATGTCTCCTAACTTGGACTACAACTTGCGATGCTTGTAGCCTTTCTTCTTCGCGCTTTTGTCGTGGCCCAAAAGTCGGAAGGTTGTCGAAACGATCCAGCTCTGAGCCGTCACCAAATGTGCTGTGTTTGGGAGACCGCTTTAAGAAAACTCGCCGAGAGAATCTATCTGTAGCAGCAACGGGAGTGACTGTCTCCCCAGGGTCTGTTGCTAAGACCTCAGAAATATCTCCCAAAGAAACAAGGCCCGCTCTTGAAGAAGGTCGGCTCTCCTTTGTAATTTCAGTAGACGCGAGAAGCGACCCCCAGTCTGTGCATGATGATGATCGTGAATTAGGCGGCCTTTTCAGTGCACCTTTCAAGTCGTTTTCAGGCTCGATAGGCGGATTCGATTTGGCGGGATATGGTAATGCCAGGGGCCTCGACTCGGATTCTAAAGTCGCGACTGACTCGAAAACAGGAATAGGGCTTCTTGTGGAGAATTTAGGTCGAACAAGTTCTAGTTTCCGCACAAGGGTCCGAAGGCCGGAAAACGATTTTCCTTGGTTCTGAGGCGTAGGCGGTTTCGCTCTGGGAGAGTTTGCTAGGGACAGTGCCAGCTCCCCTGACTTTAGATTGTCGAGTCTTGTGGTTTCTGCAGGTTCAGTGAAGGATACGGAGCGCATAGCCAAAGATGATGCTTTGAAGCTAGGAAAATCATCCGTGTTCGATAGCAGGGAACTCCTCTTGCTGCCTGTGAACTGTAATGCCGTCGGTGTAGGGGCTCGAGAAGTAAATGTGGATGAGCAAGCACTGCTGCCCTCGCTAGGGTCCACTGAAGAGATGATCAATGAGGACCTAGTCCCATTCTTTTTAGGAATGCTAGAGCGCCTCATCCGCGGTATGGAGGATTTAGATCTGAGGTCTCGTAACGGCAACTCGAACTGCGTAGAGTGCATCCTTGAAAGACTTTGTGCTGGCGTAATAGACTTCGAATTGTCGCCTGGGGTGCGGCAAAGACGCGGAATACGAGATGGCAAGGCAACAAAGTCTTTCAAAGGCACCACCTCCCTCTGGACGCGTGATTCACTCCGATCTCGACCCATAGGAGCAGCTCGTACTATCAGGTTTTTGTTCCGACCCTTGTGGTTGAATGCGTCGTCATCGTCAACCCCGAGCCCGTCCCAAAAGTCATCCTGCTCCTCTTGAAAGCGTGATTCCTTCCCAAAGATAGACGGATCCAACTCTGGTCGATAGGTGCGGTTGATGACGAGCTGTAGGCCCTCCATGGCCTCGGGGAAGATGATACCGTCCAAAAAGTTCTCCTCATCTACCATGCTATCCCTGGAAAATGAAGCGCTACTCGAGAGGCTGTTGTTGTCCAAGGGGGTTCCGAATTCAAAGTCGTCGATATCAGATCCAGAATCCCGCCACTGCTGTAACGACACGTGGCTCTTGAGAAGGCATCGGTTTTTTATAGATCCAGACTGATAAGGCTCCTGGTTGTTTAGCCCTGGTAATTGTAACCTTAGCGAGTTAAAGTCCTCTGGCAGATCAAAGTCATCATCCAGAGTCTCCATTGCCTCTGTATCCGCCCTCAGACCCGCTCGTGAATCCGTCCTTTGAACACCTCCTCTGTTTTCTGGGCGAATTGATCCATTTACTGACGGCTGCGATAGTTGCGACAGTTGCATTATCGACATAGTGGAGACTGTAACAGAAGACATTGCTCTAGACAGTGTTTCTGTGTTGGGTACATCGTCGCTCCGTGATGTTGAATTCTCACTGTCGGTATCCCAGAGATCGATGGACTCCAATGTTTCCAGGGCTGGAGGCGATTTCGCGAGGATGGAGCGCACATGGTTAAAATCGAGATCTTCTTCCGGCACCTCCAGATCCTCTAGGTCGTCTACCCAGGCTGCGACACGCTTGATGGGATTGATGCGTGTGATAATGCCTGTGTAGGCTGGTAAATTGGAATGCATCATCTCTTGTGTGATGGTCGTCATGGACTTTGCTGAAGGTATTGGAGCGTCACCTCCGTCTTTGTCTTTTTGTAGCAAAGATCTCGTAGAGGTCGCAACAATTGGTGGCGCAGCAATAGAAGCGGGAACAGCCCTGGGCAAAGACGAGCTGGAGGATGTGGGCGACGACGAAGACGGGTGCTTCTTCGCGCACGCTGCACAGGGGACCTTGTCTCGATTGCCAGGAACCTTGAGCGACAGAGTGGACAAAGGTAGAGATTGAGGCAGCGCAGTGGCATTAGTGGAAGTTGAGACAGAGCTGTGCCTGAGTGAGAACCAAACTTAGGAGTTACCTCTGCTGAACCAGCAAGACGCTTGATCGTACTCTGACTGCTGCCGTATCCGAGGCTGATGATGCTTGGAGTTCCCCTTGAAGACATCAGAGTGGTTGCAGTGGTTGTGGTTGGAGGGGTAGGCAGGGCATGGGTATAGGATGAATATGAGGGCCGTCTACTCCCTGAGGTTCGGTTTGTGGTTAGGGGATGTGCAATTGCTTGAGACTGGAAGTAGTCGCTCTGATCAGATCGGTCGGAAAGGGGTGAGCGTGGAAACTGGAGTTGTTCAAAGATCCGTTCGAAGGAATGATTTGCGTCAAACTCGAAGGCGTCATCCCACTTTTCCAGAATCGTCATCGCTTCCTGGGACTGATGCAGCTGTGCGGTATCTATCTCGTCCGCTGTCATCATCTCGACGCTTTCGCCTCCACCAGAGGATGCGGAGAGAGTTTGCGGTCCCAGGGTGTATGAGTGTCGACGCTGAGTACTTTCTGTGCTGTTGATGGTGTGCATACATGGGGTCATTTGATGGCGTGGATGTTTCGAAGTAGTAAATGCAATCAAGAACAGGCTGGAACTGAGGCAAGTGAATGAGTGGGAGGTGAGGTGGAAGCTCAAGCAAAGAAAAGGAGGAACAGAGCGACTGAGAAAGTGGGAGTGAAAGAGGGATGAAGAGCGCGATGTTTTGAGTTACTGTTTTTATTATTAGAAGAATACATGTCACCGGTCTTTACATTCCATTGACCTCCATCACCTCGCCGCGGCAGCAACATCAACCAACAACCAACAAGGGGCAGAAAACAGGGCCAACAATAGCACTCAGCAGCAAATGGATGTACTGGTCACCTTCCTCAAGGATGTCCTCCACCTCTCCTCAGCCCCAGCAGGAACAGACACTGGTGTCGGGACACAGCAGCAGTCCGCAGGCGACAGCGACCTGCCTCTGTGGCAGCCAGAGATACCGCTTTCGAAGGAGCCGTCGCAGTCATGGCAAGTCTATGCTCTGCTATACTATACTATACTACGCTACATTACGATGTGTTGCGTTGCTTTTTCTTGGACAAGAAGAGCACGGTGTATTACTTTCGTTCCTCGTTCTTCATTCACCCCTCAATCCCCGGATCCTCAGCAAGGAAACTGGGAAGATATATATTTATATATAATTATGATAGAAGTCTGCATTGTCTGTCTGTTCTCTGTCTCTCCTCAATCTCGTTTTATTCATTCATGACGCACTCTTACGCTGCGAGGAAGTTAGGAACATCTGAAGACAGGGGAAGCCAAAACAAATGACTTGGAAATAGGGGGACTCTATGTGGCGAGCTGCCACCCAAGCTTGTGAAACTGCATTGAAAAAACAAAACAGAAACTTGGTTCTGGCCTTGGTCTTCGTTGTATATTTCGCCTGTATACCTCAAACCTAGTACCAGGTCGCTTTGTCCTAGCACCCCAACTTATGTGTTTATTTCTCTCTGATATATCCGGACCTCTGGCTCTGCCCTGTTTTTCCCTTAATGGCGTCTGCTGAATCCCACCACCAGGGTCACGATGACCGAGCTCGTGTTGCCGTCTCATTGCGACGGACGTGGATTCTGTCTCGGAGGTACAGCCGTGTGTTTATGTGGTCAGTCGTCCCTGCTACTCCAATATCTATGCCGTGCTTCCTAAATTGCAAGCCTGCGCGCGTCTTCATTGTGAATCCACGATAGGCACCGTTCTTTCATGGATCGATATCTCTGCCGGCATTGCAGCCAAGAAACATGGCGTGTATCCGGCGGTAAGCATCATTTTATACACCACAGTCAGCATTCATGTTTTAATCTTCATACTGAACAATGCCATGGCATCGAGCAAAAAATTGCCTTCTAACATTATACTTGTTCTTCACGTAATGGTACATGTGGGTTCGATGGTACCATGTATGATCTACTCTTCCTAGGTAACGAGAAGCGTAGATGCCGTTCATTTCCTCGGTCCAATAACAACTCAGAACATTGTCATCATTCAGGCCAGTGTCAACAGAGCCTGGAAAACGTCTATGGAGGTTGGCGTTCGTGTTATGACTGAGGACCTCTTGTCCACAAATCGACGATATTGCTGCCATGCCTATTTGACCTTTGTCGCGCTGTCCCAACCGCCCTTGATGACATTAAAGCCCAGCTTACCTCAAGTCCCATCACAGCAAACGCCTCAGCAGCAACCCTCTCAAGATGTAGCAGCTTCCAGGGCAGTGCTCTTCAACTCGCCGGCGGCAAGGAGATACAGCTTTTCTCTTCCCAGTGCCAAATCTGGATCAAAGAAAAATGAGGGTTTGAATCAGCAATCGATCCAGCTACCCGCTATTGAACCCGTTACTCCAATAGAGATGGAACGGTACATAATGGCGCAGTCTCGTAGGGAATCTCGCCTTCAACAGTCAAAAGAAGCCAAGGAGGAACAAGATCAGCTGTTGAGCGACGTCCGGGACCAGATGCGCCGTTGGAATGTTGGTCAGATCAATAGCTCAAAACTAAAGCTGCCACCGTCTGAAGAGGACAGGACACCGCGTATTGCTATGCAAGCTACTTTTGCAGAGTCTGCTCAATTGGTACTGCCACAGCATGCTAACTCGCTTTCAATTACTTTTGGAGGTCAGGTCATGAAGTGGATGGAAAATGTCGCAGCCGTTTCTGCGAGTCGTTTTGCGAGAGTATCAATAGTCACCGCAAGGTACGCAGATAATAAGAAAGCACGAGCTTACTATCTACTATGGAAACTTACAAGAATGAAGGCGCCGCTCTCTCACCATAGCATTGATTCCCTGCAGTTCCATCGAAAGACCATGATCGGTGAGTAGATGCTATATACACTGCCACTTGTAAGCCACTCTCTCCTCTATAACATCCCTTCTTGTCCCTCTTTCTAGGCGATTGCTTGACTATGCGTTCTGTCGTGACCCGTGTATTCCGGTCGTCTATGGAGGTCTACGTCTTTGTCGATAGCGAAAACCTTGTCAACGGAAAGCAGACGTTTACAAACGAGGCGTTTTTTTCGATGGTGGCGTTGCAGCCTTCCCCGTCCATCCAGCCGATGAAAAGCCGTCTACCATGTCTCGTCCCTGGATCGGAGCTTGAGCAAGCACTCTCGGATGCAGGAGAGAGGCGCCGGGTCAAGAGGCTAGAACAGAGGCGCGAGTTGGCAGAGCGCGAAACGCGGTTCCTTGTGCACTCGCCTTCGATAGAGCGAACTAATGCGATGGAGTATACTGACCAACGCAACTAGCACAGCCAGCACAGTTCTCGGGGTGTGGATTTAACAGGCGTACATTGAAGCGAGTGCCAACAAAAAAAAAAAAAAAAAAAAAAAAAGGTCGTGCCCATAAATACATTTAAAGTAGTGCCATCATACGATCGCTGAAATAAACCTCTGCGTCCATCCTAGATTGCCTGGCGGATAAGAAGGCCCCAAATAGCCAGCACTATGCCGCAGTGTTGGCCGTTCAAATGATAAGCGGAGGCGCCCATGTAAAGGTCAGCCATCTTCAGACGACGAAAATGAATGCTCCTTTGCTTTTTTAACAGCTGATATGACGGTGCCGCGCCTGATCAGAGCGTGCCTCGAACAAGACTCCTCATGGAATTTTTAGTATAGTCACAGGTAGACAAAAAGAAAGATACTTAAGGCATATGCTTTAAAACTATTAGTACAGTGTATGTGAACACGGCGCTAGGTGCCATGAAACGCAGCAGGTATTATTACCTCACGTTCAGTGAACTCGACTATTCTGTGTTCGCCTCTACTGATCAAAGACTTTTGGTAATGCCCAAAAATCGGCTCCGCTTAGGTATGTTTATGTTAAAGAAACAGGCCGCCTGGTTGCTTCCGAATCTTTCTGGGCACCAGAGCATTTTGTCCCTGCTAATGATTACCTAGAGCCCAAAGTAAGGGCCATAATTTGGGATCGCACTCAGTCTCGTCTGAGTCGCTCAGGTATTGAAGTCGGCATTCCTGATAGTCCTCTTCCAGGTCTTTTCCAAGAGTGCAACTTGACCCTCATGTATCAGTGCCAATAGCGAGGTTCTGTTGGTGGGAAGCTCTCCATATTTAACCACTGAGGCTAACTTCAAAGTGGGGTCATCCTGTAGTGTCGTCGCGTCCCCGCCTGCTGCATGAATCAGTAGGACCATCGAGACAATGAACCCTGGTAATATAAAGACACTTCCAGCTCGCAGTCTGTCCATCCACTGGGAATATTTTCTGAGCTACCGACCACATCAGTCGCTGGAAGGAAACCGTCTGCATCCAATAGCAGAACAAAGTCACTCCCTCAGAAGCGGGTGCAAATTGGACTGCTGTTAGACAGTTATCGACGCTGGGTGGCGATGAGTCTGTAGGGGTGCTGACAAGGTGAAGTCGACCTGACTTCGGATCTTGAGATTGCTATTTCTCATGATATAAAATTGTGTTACAAGACTTAATACCACAGCGATCGCGAACACGGTTTCTCAACTGGTGTGGTGTGGTAAACCCACACGGAGTATAGACGGGGTATCCAGGTACAAGGGACGGACACAACACCTGATATGACACGATGGGAGGAATAGGTACAGGACACTCATACGATCATACCAGGCACGTGCTGCACGTGCAGTTACAGGATGTGCAAGTAGAAGGACATGCAATTAGACAAGAGTCAATAGGGTTTGCATTTATAGAAATTTTCTTTGGTCAATAAATATCACAGAACGACAGGACCAAATGGTTCCTGGTCTGTTTCCTCACTATACTTTGCTCAACACTTGCCCCCGCACGACACTCCAAGTCGCTCCACGCATCCCTGTCCCAACACACTGTACCCTTCGATCGATATACTCTGCCACAGCTGGCCTTCATAGCATATCGCCCAGCAAGAGTAGAGACGGGACCCGTGCGTCTGAACTGCTGCACCTCTAGTGCCCCCCCAAGTGTTCCTGCGAGTCCGCTCACATCACCTGCCTGCCCCCACGACAGGTAATGATCATGGTCTCATAACGAACAAGAGCGGAGGATCAAGAACAGTACCCCTCGATGCCGACGTCTGGACACAGGAGTCAAGACAGAGTCCCTTTGACCTTGCAGATCCCTAACCCGAGTGTGTTGTCGCCTTTCTTATTCTCGTAAATACAGTCCACGGAAAAAGTGTTAGCATGTTTTCATAATTTCGACCTTTTTTCTTTGATACTTACATCAATACCGCCTACTGCTACGAGGCTTCACGCGATCAATCTCGTATATTTGTTAAGATTACCTGCCAAGTTACGAGCCAATGGATGCACTCTATCCGGCTAATTGAGGACATGAACATATTGACCCCATTCTAACACTTTTTCGAAATATGACCACCCTCTGATTCTGTTAGCTACTTTTCTGCCATTAATAATCGATATGGCCTCCTTTATTTGCGTGAAGCCTCTTCATGCGCTCGGGCATGCTCTCATATAGCTCGTGAATGAATTTGATATCTATTGTTGTCCATATATCCTGAACACGCTCCCAGAGGTCGTCCAAAGAGCTTGGTGCCTCTGGGTACTGATCAAGTCGGTACTTGAGGTGCGACCATAGATGCTCGATCGGGTTGAGGTCCGGAGAATTCGCAGGCCATTCCATGACTGCGATCTTGGATTTCCTAAGGAAGTCTTCGACTATGCCTGCTGTATGCACTTTGGCATTGTCCTGCTGAAAAATGAATTTTGCTGGATCCATACCAAACCAATCCCGAGATGCGCAAAGATAGTCCTTCAGTACATCGAGGTAGGTTTGTGCATCCATACTTCCTGGGATCCAGCAGGCATCGCCCAAGCCATAAAATGTCATGCAACCCCAGACCATAATTTTGCCCCCTCCGCCCTGCTTTGTTTTCTGCACTTGGTGAGGTTGGATATCCTTCCTGTTGGGCTTCTTGTAATAGAATTTCCTGCCGAAGGACGCAATCCTGCTGATTATAGTTTCGTCCGAGAACATCACATTCTTCCAGTCGTCCACGGTCCATTTCAAGTGCGCCTTAGCAAATTCGTAGCGTGCTCTGATTTGATCCGGTGTCAGATCACGCTTCCTAGGCTGGACGTATGCTTTTAAGCCCTCCTGTTTAAGGTAGTTCCGGACACTGTCTACATGAACCTGCACTCCTTGCACCGATTGGATAAGTCGCTGGCCGTCGCGGAGGGTCACGGCTTTTCCTGTGACGAAATGACGAGCAAGTAAGGTCTTGGTCTTCTTCGAAACCTTCGAAGGACGCCCTATTTTAGGGGATGGAACGTTCTCCTTGTCCCTTTGACGAATCTTGGAAACGGAGAAAGTACAGATATGCAAGGATCTTGAAACCTCGCGGACAGATTTTCCTTGCCGAAGTTGGATAATCGCATCGCGTACGGTTTGTTCTCGCAGCCGCTTCATGTTTGATGTAAACTTGGGATGAATGTGGCGTAGGATGGGAGTAGTGGATAACTGTGCAGTTGTATTGTTCTAGTTGCGAGTGAGGATGCAGACCGTAAGGGAAGAGCACAATTTATAGGATTTTTTAAAAAGTGTTAGAGTGCACCTCATGACTTTCGAGATCCTTCGTTCCTCAGCTGAAGGTCATTCAAGCCTGGAACATTCTAGAAAACTCCTTGTAAATTACGACATTGTCCACCAGACATCTCGGTCCTTGGTAATAGCGTAATAGGGAGATAAAGGAGTATAAGTCCAAAATAGCAAAACATGCTAACACTTTTTCCGTGGACTGTATGTTTTTTTGAGTGCCGGCCGCCTGGCCACCTTTTTGGCGATTAATCCAGCTTCTCTAAGGCGCCTCCTGATTGTACGGACGGACACAGGCTGCGGATTGAGTTGGTTGGCTTGGTGAGTGGCCTCAACAGCAGTCTGTATGAGTCCACGTTTTAGGTTCAACTTGACATGTTCCACTGCACTCGCCAGAATCTTTCTGGGTCGACCTCCCTTGTTGACTGGGATGTTCTCCTTGTTGTTGGAAAGGATCCTGCGGACAGTGGTATGGGAGATGTCGAGGCGGAGAGCTGTTTTCCTTGTGGAAAAGCCCTCTTTTGTGAGCCTTATGGCTTCCTTGATGATAGATGGGGCTACAGGCTTCATATTCTCTGTGAAGAAGGATTAGGATAGTATTGACAAAATGTGAAAGAAACAGAAAGATAAAATCATCCGTCCCAGAGATCTTGATGAGGAAGTATTGTAGGGGTGTTTTTTGGGGGGTCGGGACAAAACTGGAACAAATGGTTCAGAATGTTGGCGTTACAATTTCTTAACAGTACCATTCAGAATCGAGCTGAGACTTATGAAACACGTTAATGAATAGCATATCCATTCTCATTCCAAGCTTTGCTGCGATCCAATCATGCAGTCCTGAGATATGTGTGTCGATGCAGAATATATAAAAACATTGTTCCAGTTTTGGCCGGTACTGTATACCTCGCGTCCCGTAGTAGCCATCCGAGTACCCTGACCAAGAATCCTAGAAACACATAAATAGAGCCATAGAATCCATAGCATATAACCTCAGTCTGCAATACATTTCTTCCTTACCTTGTCCACTGTCTGTCTCCTCCATAACACATATCCCACTCTTCCAAGTCTGTTCCTGACATTGCAGACTCTCCAATCCAGTCATGTCCGCCCAAGATGAATTTACCCAGCACCAGCAGCTTCTGCAGCAGCAGCAGGCGAATCTCCTTGGTGCCCTGCAGAACCATGCGCAAGACCCGAACACCACTCCTGACGCATTTGTGAACCATCTCCGCGAGCTCTTGTCCGTTATTGACGCCCGTACCAACTCCATTGCCAGCCATCTCCAGCAAGCGAACCATCTGACGACCTTGTCCGAGGCCGTCAACGTTATCCAAGTCCAGAACCAAGACGCAATGCAGCAGCAGACCAACACGATCGCTGCCCTCCAGAATCTGGTCCAAGCCATCCTGGACCGAACCCCCGCGCCTACCGCCGCTGCCGCTTCTCTCCAGACAGCCGCTCGTCGTCCACACATCCCGCACCCCTTCACGCCTGCGTTCAATGGTGATGCCAAAGTCCTTTCCTTCCGTGCTTTTAAAGCCAAGTTGTCCGGTGTGTGGCATATAGCCATATTACATGCTGCCACCGCGTGTATTTAATTAGATCCAGCGAGTCCTATCAATTTACTTAAGCCACCGAGTAACATATAATGTTCTCGGTGGATTAATATTAATGATCCCTCTCTTGTTCTCATTGACTCCTAGTTCATATATACTTCGCATTTTTTTCAATGAAGTAGAGGATCTAACACAGCATCAGAAACATTCAGGAACCACATCAGAGACATTCAGGAACAACAGCTTTTTCCTCATTCAGAATCACATCGTCAGCATCTTCATTTCCAATCTTTTTATTTTCAGATCACAGGTATTTTTGAGAAAAATTTTCCGATCCCGATGGCGAAGATCAACATTCAGAAGAAGAAGCTGGCTGCAACTACCAAAACGCGCAACAACAACAACAGCTCGAGTGCAACCTCCAACGACGTTGACGCCGCCATGATTACGCCTCTTCCAACCGTATCTGAGATTGCCGAAGATGCATCCGTGGATCCAACCCAGGAGAGTGCTGTAGAATCGCCTAGCTCTGATGGAGACCGTAGTCTTCCTTTGCGTAATAAAGCCGTTCCCGTCCTTACTTCAACTGAGTATGATGATGATGATGTCGGAGACATGGACGTTGATGAGGATTGTATTCCTTCTCGTCTACCCTCGTTCAAGAAGAGGACCGCTATCAACGCTGATGAATCCGTCCCAGGTTATGATGCTTCGATCGATGAAAGCCTTACCGAAGAAGACACGGACAACGAAAGCGAACTAGAAATGGCCAGAAGCACGCTCGAAAACATGCGGCTGAATCTGAAGCGAATGGACAAGAACATTTTGCGACTCCAATCGCGCGCTGCCAGAGACTGTGGCATTCCCAATGCGCAGCTTACCCAAGAATTGTCAGATTTCAAAATGCAACGTAGCATCACGTTCGGCAGCTACGGCGAGCTCAAGCAAGCTTATGAAAACTTGGCCGAGTCCATGACGCCCCTAAAAGCCCAGAATCGTGGCGAAAGAAAGCACCGTGTATGAGGCGAGCGATGACTACCAGTCCCTGCCCATCCGTCGAAACCAGAAGTCCTTCATTGGAGGATTGCCGATTAAGCTACAGAGCAACTGGCCAAGGTACAACGGAAAGGCTGATGAAACCGCATACGAATTCTTTGACAAGTTCATTCGTCAAGTCCGTCCCATCCTAGGGGAAGAAATATTCAGGCAATATGGTCATACATACCTGAGCCTACTGGTCAGCGATAACAACTTTCAAGACCAATTGCAAACCGCGTTCGACAAGCTCGAAGGAAATGTCATCACTCGAGACATCATGGAGCGAACATTCCTGGACGTCTGTCTCACGAAAGAACAGCGAGAAAAGAGCGTGGCCAAGGTCACCAAAATCAGCCGTCACAAAGGAGAATCCTACCGCTTATTTGCCACTCGAATTGCGCGCATCGTGAAACAGTATCGCATCCAAGAGGACAACGGTGTCATCTTGACCCTACTCAGACAAGCCATCCCAGCCAAGGATATGACCAATGTCAACCTGCATTACCTCTACACTAATCAAGGTACCACTCGCGATACGCCTGAGACGATCGATGATTTTTGCACCGCCCTTGGCAAGATCGTTGGACCCGATGATGCTAGAGATGATTTTGAGCTCCCAAGCAGCTCCCTCCGTGATCAAGGAGACGTCAAAGCACAAAGCCGTAATGGCAGAAACAGTAAGGAGAAAGCTGGCAGCATGTCTTACTGTACCAAGTGCAAGGACTACAGACACCACTCCAGTGAGGAGCACATCGAGTGCGAGCACTGTGGACGAGCTGGTCACCAGAAGCATACCTGTCGCAAGCTCGACAACCAGCGTGGCCCTTCCCGTAATAATGGTCGCAGTGACCGCGGTCGAGACAGCTACAGTCGGTACAACAGTCGTGACAACAATCGTGACCACAGCGTTCGTGACAGCAGTAACCGAGATAATAACGGTCGTCACCATCCCTACAATCGGGACGGCTACCGCCCGCGCAATGATCGTAGCCCTCATGGTGACAAAGGTGTGTATCATGCCACCCGCACTCCAAATGCAAACGAAAATAAGAGATACATCTCACTGAACGAATTATCATCTTCCTGCTCTTCAAAGACAAATAGCTCGGAGCAAGACCAGTACCAGCAAATAGCTGACGATGAATTTGTGAACATCGCGCACTTGACAGACTCGGTGCTATCAGAAGATAAAGATAATAAAATTGAGCAATTCGATATAAATCTCGAGAGCATGACCCTAGAAAATTCATCACTCAACGACTTTGAAACCATTGCATATACTGCTATGTCTACCCATGACACGAACGAACGCAGAATTATCATGCCCATCTACTTCGATAACAACGAGTATGAGGCGCTTATCGACACAGGAGCATCAAGGTCGTTTATTGACCGCTCAATCGTGGACGATGCTCGTATCAAAGTCATCAATGCACAAGGAAATATATATCTAGGGCATAAAGAGATGCATGTCGCACGTATCGGAAGCACCGAAGACATCGAAATCGAGTGCAATAACCACTGCTTAACATCAGCGTTTGAGGTGTTTGATTTGCAGCACTCATTTGTCATTGGGATGGATTTATTCCACAAACTTGGTTTCTCTATGGGAGGTATCTCCGACGGACGCGAGTCAGCCCAAAGCCTGCCTCGACCAGTCGACGATGAACGACCTTCCATTTTGCCTCTAAAAATACCGGCGATAGAACTGACCGAAGAATACAAAAAAGAGAAGACAGCCTTCTTGACCACAATAACGGCTGCACTCAAGCAAAACGATGAGATCCCACGTTCGAGCCATTGTCCATTACCAGAGATGAGAGTTTCTCTTCGAGTTCCCAGAGGCACAACGCTTTTTAGACGACCGCGCGTGTTCGCCGAGCAGCAACAACAAATCTTTAATGAGCAGGTCGAAAAATGGCTAAAGGATGGCGTGATCACCACGGCCCCAGCTGGAAACCCTCATAATAATACTTTGACATTAGCTGCAAAGAAAGACTTGCTGGGCAACAAAACAAAATGGCGTGTCTGTCTTGATCCGCGTCCACTGAACAAATTACTACCAGACGATAATCACCCAGTGCCATTGATATCCGATATTTTGCAACAAATTGGAGGCCATGCAGTATACTCCACAATTGATTTAACGCAAGCGTATCACCGTCTGCCAGTGGACAAAGATGATCAACCTTTAACTGCATTCATGCATAGAGGAACGCAATATATGTTCTGCAGAGCACCATTCGGGCTCAAACCGCTATCAAGTATCTTCCAAAGAGGAATGACTAGAATCCTGGGCGACCTGCCTTTTGTCCTTATATTTATTGATGACATTGTCATATTCTCAAAAACGCGGGAAGAACACGCAGAACAAGTGAAATGCGTAATTGAACGATTAACTAGAGCAAAGCTCATTATCAACCAGGAGAAGTCTCATTTCTATGCCACCCAAATTGTACTCCTTGGGTTCGTCATCGACTTGAAAGGCAAGCGTATCGATCCAATGAAATTAGCAAATATTGATCAGTGGGTTCCTCCTACCACCAACACACAAATTCAATCCTATATGGGAACGTTCAATTTTTTCCGCGAGTACATTCCGCTATTTAGCACACTAGCTGCTCCATTAGACAAACTGCGCAACGTAACAAAGCCGTTCCAGCTGAATAGAGAAGAACTAGAAGCCTTCAACACCTTCAAGAAACTCCTTGCTGGTGCACCTATCTTACACTTTCCGGACTTCTCAAAGCCATTTTATGTCGCAACAGACGCATCCAACGTTGGCATTGGCGCTGTCCTCTATCAGCAAACTCGGAACGAGAAAAAGAATAAATGGGAAAAGCAATACATATCATTCATGGCGAGATCTCTTCAAGAGCGCGAACGCCGATATTCTGCAACACAAAAAGAATTACTAGGCATTGTGTTTGCTCTAACAAAATTCCATTACTATCTGTGGAGTAGGTCATTCACTCTATTTACAGACCATCGTGCACTCACATTCATTCATACTCAAAAAGAAATGAACTCGATGCTGACTGGATGGCATGAAACAATCCTCAGCTATGACTTCAAAGTCGAGTATAGACCTGGTGTCATGAACGTCCTACCTGATCACTTATCACGATTGTTCCCCGCATCCATGCATAACCGATACGAGTCCAGTAAAGGACATATCATCAACGCATACATGCATGTCCTGCAAAATGAGGATAATCCTTACAAGGTCATAAGCGATGAAAAACAACGTGAAGAGATATTGGACAAAGCCCATTCTCTTGGTCACTTTGGTACGAACGTCATGGTGAAAAACATTCATGCCGATCATATTACATGGCCTCGTCTAGCAGATGATTGCCTGACGTGGGTTAAGAAATGCCCGGAATGTCAACGTTACAATATTGCTCAAAAAGGTTATCACCCTCTGAAAGCCATCCACGCACAATTGCCTGGTGAACATATGGCAATAGACCTAGCAGGGAAACTTCCCACTTCAGTTAATGGTCATCAATACGTGCTGATTCTAGTCGATGTGTGCACACGCTTCGTGTTCCTGAAACCAATACGCGATAAGCAAGCGATCACCATCGGACGTGCCCTTTTTGACATATTCTGTCTCATTGGTTTTCCCCGTGTTTTGCAATCTGACAACGGTACTGAGTTTGTTAACGCTCTCATGAATACTATCAGCACTGAAATGGGCACCCAACACCGTTTGGTCACTCCGTATCATCCCCGCGGCAATGGCGTTGCTGAAAGGCATGTCAAGGTTGCTGTGGACATTATAAAGAAAGAGTTCAAACAAAAAAGCGATACCTGGGACGAACACGTACCCATGGCGCAATTAGCAATGAACACACGCATAGTTGCTTTGCACAACTCATCGCCGTTCTCTTTATTTTTTGCACGCAAATTTAATGGATTCCATAACTTTTCGAATGACAAAGATCAAATGCTTACCCACGACGAACTCTGCAAACGTCTTGAATATATGACAACAATCGTCTTTCCTGCTATTGACAAGAAGTCTAAGGAAACACAACGAAAAATGGTTGAGCGATTTAACGCTACCATTCTGCATAACGATTTCCCTGAAGGCGCGAAGGTCATGACACTCGACCCTATCAGAGGCGACAAGCTATCCCCTCGTTACGAAGGACCTTATACCGTAATACGCCGATCAACTGGAGGCGCATACGAGCTAAAAGATGGCACAGGTGCCCTGCTTGGACGAAAGTACGCTCCTTCTCAACTGAAACTTGTTCTCGAAGATTTTGGTGAAACGAAAACCTACGAGGTTGAGAAAATTCTCCATCACCGTCCACATCCTACTAAAAAGGGGGAGTGGGAGTACAGAACCAAATGGAAGAGCTTTTCCGACAAGGAATGCACTTGGGAGCCTGCAGATCATTTCGTAGAAAAACAATGCATCCGAGAATACTGGAACAAGCACGGCAATAAGCATGCATCACCAGAAGACAAGACAAAGAAGCAGAAAGATTCGCAATCAAAGTCGCAGAAGAAAACGCCAACACAGAGGCAAAGCCCCTATACAAGGCAACGACGTGCCCGCAATTGATGGCGCGTCATAACAAGAGGTTTTGCTCCAAGAGCTTTTTCCCTCACAACATAATTTAACAATCGAGGTTTTTTTTATATTTTCCCTCACAACATAATTCAACAATCGAGGTTTTGTACATTTTCCCTCAACCATAATATTCATTCACTACACATGAGGTTTTCCCTTTTCCCTCATCATATCTGTGGCATCATATAGAGTTCACACGACAGGTCTCACTCTTCCATAGGAGGGGAGTCGTGTGGCATATAGCCATATTACATGCTGCCACCGCGTGTATTTAATTAGATCCAGCGAGTCCTATCAATTTACTTAAGCCACCGAGTAACATATAATGTTCTCGGTGGATTAATATTAAAGATCCCTCTCTTGTTCTCATTGACTCCTGGTTCATATATACTTCGCACGGTGTCTTCCAGCGCTTCGGTCCTGCCTTTGAATCGGATGACCAGTGCGTGACTTTCGCCATGGGCTGTATGGCAGGACCTCCCCTCGAACATTTTGCCCCGCTGTACAACCAAGACATCGAGGACGAAGAAGGACTCCTGAACGATTACGACGCTTTCATGACCGCTATCGAGGCCGCTTACGGTGATCGCCTGAGCATCCAGGAAGCCGAAGAGAAAATCCGTTTCCTTAAGCAACGAGGTACATGTCACGAATTAAGGTTGAGGACAGACTTGCGCTCACCTCAATTGACCCTAGTGGCTTGTGATTACCTTGCGTCTGCTACGCGAGCCCAAATCACGTCGCGTCTCCAGAATTACCCCACACGGAAAGCATAACTGGTTTAACGTTGCTTGCCCGTTTCAAGTAGTCGATTGCCCGCGTCCACCCTTGTCCATTCCATTATGTTTCGGTCCCGAGTACGGGAGCTTATAGGACATAAGCTACCGAGCTGGGGTCCCGAGTCAAGTTTTATTCACATATAAAAGACATAACTAGCTGCCATAATCAAACCTCAGTCTGCAATAAAATACTTTCCTGCCCTGTACTCACTCTTGCTCTTACATTCTCCACTTGCCTGCCAGTCCAGATCTTGACAGTGCAATGCAAGAATACATCTCGGAGTTCTCCGCTTTGCAAAGCCAGGTCCGCTGGAATCAGTCTGCTCTCGTGTTCCAATTCAAGTTTGGCCTTTCCGAGGGTGTGCGCACCCTGTTGCAAGGCCAATGGCATTCCCTGACCACCATGAGTACTGTGACTGAGGCTGCTACCACCGCGTATCTGAACTTGCGCCTGACCTCGGCTCGTCGCCCCCAACAGCCTTGGCGACCCCAGCCTCCTCGCAGCATCCCTCAGTCTACTCCGTCTCCACGTCCAGTCACCGTTGCTCGTCCAGGTCCAAACGACATGGAACTAGGAACCATGCGCGGCCCTCTTACCGCCGCTGAAAAAGATCGTCGCCGCAGAGAAGGCCTCTGCATGTACTGTGGCCAAGCCGGCCACTTTGCCAACAAGTGCCCCAACAAGCGCCCCTCCGGTCTGGGCCTCGCTGCAGTCCAAGAAGCCACGATCGAGTATGCTTTCGACACCGACGTGTCGGAAAACTTCAGCGCCTAGGGCAGCTGGAGGACTGTTCCCTAGGTGCCGTCCATGCCACCTCTTATGTTGCCTGCCACCCTGTATCTGACCCAAGGACCCTTAAAAAACATCCAAGTATTAATCGACTCCGGCGCCGCCCGCTCCTTCATCGATCGAAAATTCCTCCTGAACCACTGTATCCCTGTGCGTAACCTCCCCCGACCCATGAACCTGACCACGGGGGACGGCTCTTTGAGCACCGCTGGACCTGTCTTGCATGAAGCCTCTGTATGCCTGACCCTCGCTGAGAAGCACCATGAACAGATCCTGCTAAAAGTCACCAAGCTCGGCCAGTACCCTATCATCCTCGGGATGGACTGGCTCGCCACGCATAACCCTAGTATTGACTGGGAAAAGCATATAGTTACTTTCCATTCAACCCATTGTACAGTATGGTGCAAAACTGATTCAATGATGCGATGGTTTTTGCGTTGGCACTCGCCTACAAGGAACCAATGCCTCAGCCATCGTCATATTCACCACAAATGTAGCCCATCCAATGACAAACAGGGCTGCTTGCTTTGGAGCCAGAAGTATGCACACCCATTGCTGCATGACGATTGTGCCATCCGTCATCATTGAATCAGTTTTGCACCTTAACCTCATTTTTATGTAATTTTAAATACCATCGTCATTTTCATCAGATTCATTATAAATGAACCCATTTTGTGTTTCGTTTTCCTGTTTGCCTTATTCTACTCTATCTATCTGCAAAAAATGAAGCCCGTACCTCCATCCACTGTTAAGGAAGCAATAAGCCTCATGTCTGAGGGTATTTCCACTCGTGAGACAGCCCAACGTCTTACCATCTCTCAGGCAACGGCTAGCAGAATACGTTCAGGTTACAAAGAAAACATGCCGAGCAACAAGGGAGGCCGTCCGAGAAAGATTGGTCAAGAAACCGTGGAGCACCTCAAGCTGAACATGAAGCGCGGACTTCTTAGGACTGCCGTGGAGGCCAAGAGCGAGGCCAACAGGATGTTGGCACGACCTATATCGGTGTGGACAGTTCGACGGCGACTTCGGGAAGCTGGACTAGTGGCCAAAACGATTGTCAAGCGACCAGCACTCAAAACAAAGCACATTAGAGGTCGGATGCAGTTTGTCAAGAAATACAAAGAGTGGACGGAAGAGGACTGGGCCACAGTTGTATGGTCAGACGGGTGCAAAATCAATAGGATCTGTTCTGATGGCATTAAGTGGGTCTGGGACGACGCGCCGGGGCGACTGACAAGCCGTACAGTCCAGGGAACAGTCAAGTTTGGCGGCGGAAGCGTCATGGTATGGTCTTGTATGTCATGGTACGGACCTGGCTATATCGCAAAGATCGATGAGACCCTGGACTCCCAGTTGTATATCCAGATTCTGACGGAGGATCTACAGATGTCTGTCGAGGAGTGGGGCATGGCCAAGGACGAATTCATCTTCCAGCACGACAACGATCCGAAGCATATGGCCAAGGTCACCAAGGCATTTCTGGAGTCCGTCCATATGACTGAGGCTGATGAGCGCCTTCTATATTGGCCAGCACAGTCTCCTGATCTGAAGCCGATCGAGCATATGTGGGCCTATCTCAAAGTACAGCTGGGAAAGTATCCAAATCCGCCAAAAAGCTGCAAGGAGCTATGGGAGAGAATATCAACGGAATGGTACAAGATACCAGTTGATTTCTGCCGGGAACTCATCAGGAGCATGCCGAGGAGGCTCAGCGCGGTCCATAGAGCGAAGGGCAAGCAAACTAAGTACTAAAGAGGTACCATTTTGAATAAAAAAAAAATCTGTTCTTCGTATTCAAGGAGTAGGTGCAAAACTGATTCAATGATGACGGATGGCACAATCGCCATGCAGCAATGGGTGTGCATACTTCTGGCTCCAAAGCAAGCAGCCCTGTTCGTCATTGGATGGGCTACATTTGTGGTGAATATGACGATGGCTGAGGCATTGGTTCCTTGTAGGCGAGTGCCAACGCAAAAACCATCGCATCATTGAATCAGTTTTGCACCATACTGTAAGTCCGCGCGGATGGCGACATGGATCAAATTACTAGCCTGGGTAACCACCTCGGTCTTGTCCATCTCGGTTTGCTTGTGGATTTGGGCGGGGATACCGACGGTTACGGCGTTCTCAATCATAGCTAGTCTCGGATCCAGGCCATTAACAAGGTTTCGGAAGAATTCAAAGTGGTTGTGTAGGAACAGAAGAGACGGTTCGATGGTCGTGAGACTCTTAATGTCGTTTTCAATGGCAGTGATGCGTGCATCCATGGCGGTGAGGAGCTGAAGAGCGTTAGGAGTAGCGGCCATGGCAGGACAAAATCAAAAAAATAGTAAAAAGGTCAAGGTTGTGTGATCTAGCAATGTCACGAACCTATGCTTATTCAGAGTCAAGATGACCTTCTTAAGCGTGGCAGGACAGAACAAGGGAGAGGAGATGCAGTTTGGGAAACAGGGTCAAGAAAGCGTAGATATATTGAAGTTGCTAGATAAGGAATAAAAGATACAGAACTACGGGATATATATATATGTTTCTCATTGCCTTCGTGTAACGGTCGTACGCGTTGCCAAGAGTCGACCGATCACTTGCCAAGTATCGATCGATCGTGTCGTGGCACGCGACACACGGGTCCCGTCTCTACTCTTGCTGGGCGATATGCTATGAAGGCCAGCTGTGGCAGAGTATACCGATCGAAGGCTACAGTGTGTTGGGACAGGGATGCGTGGAGCGACTTGGAGTGTCGTGCGGGGGCAAGTGTTGAGCAAAGTATAGTGAGGAAACAGACCAGGAACCATTTGGTCCTGTCGTTCTGTGATATTTATTGACCAAAGAAAATTTCTATAAATGCAAACCCTATTGACTCTTGTCTAACTGCATGTCCTTCTACTTGCACATCCTGTAACTGCACGTGCAGTACGTGCCTGGTATGATCGTATGAGTGTCCTGTACCTATTCCTCCCATCGTGTCATATCAGGTGTTGTATCCGTCCCTTGTACCTGGATACCCCGTCTATACTCCGTGTGGATTTACCGCACCACACCGGAACCGGTCCGTAGACATAGATAAATAGACCAGCTAGTTACCACCTAAATACAGCACGCATTCCACCCTGTCCACCTCGACCCCCTGCCCTCAGTTGCCTAAAGCTATTACATGGTAGCAAAGGTTTTTCGATACCCTGTCCCTCTGTCCCTGAACCACGTTTTCCCTGTACCACGATACTCTGTTAAATTTTTACCCTGATCCACCAATTAAATCACACCCTGATCGACCAACTGTTGTCCCTTTTTTCGTCCCTCACTATGAACGAACCTACCCCCACCACCGCCCCTGCCCCTGTCCAGGTGTAATAGCAACAGAACGAAGGAGGGAACAAGTGCAGGAACAAAAGGACACGAGATAGGAACACGAGAGGCAGGGGACAAGAGACAAGGGCTAGAACGGATGATCTTTATTATACAGAGAGATAGAGGTATTTATACTAATATACAGGGGGCGCAGTGGTGGAGGCGCGGTGATGGAGGCGCGGTGATGGGGGCGTGGTTGAGGGTTAAGCAGAAGGTTAGCCTAGGATACTATCACACCTTCCCCTAATACACTAACTCCGGGAATTGAGTAAATGTTTTCCGATTTTCATTCTTCTTATCAGAATAATTTATATGATGGACCCTCCTTTGTGAAATTCAACCATGTTGTAGTGCTGCCTCCAAAGCGTCAAGCATAGTTCATTTGAACTGCCTACTACATTACTAAAGAAGGTACGAATAAATGTTTGATACCATGTCATTTACTCAATTTCCGGCCCCTGGTGTTTTTATTTCGTACTCGGATCTTTCCCCACCAAGTCCCTACCAAGTCATTATTCTCAGTAGCCAGTGTGACCTCCATTAGCGTTCTTCAGCGCCTCAATCCTTCGCGGCATGCTTTCAATTAGGGTCTGGCAGACTAAAGCCGGAATATTGTTCCATTCGACTTGCAATCGTTCCCACAATTCGATCATTCCCTCAGGAGGCTTAGGATACTTGGCTAGTTGCCTCTCGAGATGCTCCCAGAGGTGCTCTATCGGATTCATATCTGGAGAGCGTGCGGGCCAAAAGAGCAAGTTGTAGTTCTTTTTCTCGAAAAATCTCCTTGATACTCCCGCGGTATGCTTGGAGTCATTATCCTGCTGGAAAATCATATCCTGTGGCCGGATCCCATACCACTCTTGCGTCAATGGAACACACTCTTCAAGGATCTCGACATACAACTCAGCATCCATTGTCCCATGGATTTGAGAGATGAAGCCTGGCCCGTAATATTTCATGCAACCCCACATAAAAAGATGACCTCCTCCGTACTTGAGCGTCTCGTCAACGAGCCGGTCCTGGTCGCCGATTTTTGTGTTCTTCCAAACCCAGACCTTCCCATCGGACCCGTATTGGTTGATCCTGGTTTCATCTGTCCATAGAACCCGTTTCCAGTCATCGATAGTCCAATGCTCATACACTACCGAAAATAATGAGTAAATGATTTTCACTTTTGTAGCACATTTGTCAGTTGTTTCCGAACCCGGGTTATATAGTTGGTGATAGTTACAGGATAACATGCCAGTGCAATGAAAAGTAATCTACAGCATTTGGGAGATGCGGAGAAAATTATTGCGCGTTGTATACAGAATTAAGTTTAAACTGTTCAATTTACTCATTATTTCTCCCATGGACATGGTTTTTATTTTTTTTTATTCATCTTCGATATCAAGTTTACTGATGGCCTGCTTAGTACCTAGTGTGGCCTCCCTTGGCATTCTTAACAGCTTCGATCCTTCTGGGCATACTCTCAATCAAGCCTTGGCAGACAGAAGGGGGAATCTTGTTCCACTCCGCCTGAAATCTTTCCCATAGTTCAATCATGCCCTTCGGAGGCACCGGGTACTTGCCTAACTGGCGTTTTGCGTAGTCCCAGAGGTGCTCGATCGGATTTAGGTCAGGAGAGTTGGGCGGCCAGAACAACAAATTGTACTTGTGCTGCTTAAAGAAATTCATCGCAGTGCTGGAAGTGTGTTTCGAGTCGTTGTCCTGTTGAAAGATCATATCCTTAGGCTTGATCTTGTACCAGCGCTGGGTGAGTGGGAGACATTCCTCCAGGATTTCGACATAGAGACTGGCGTCCATGATCCCCTCGATCCTGGAAATGAATCCAGCACCATGCCAGGTCATGCACCCCCATAGCATGATGGAACCGCCGCCGAACTTGACCTCCTCCTGGACAAGCCGATCGTCCAGAGACTTGTCACCTCCCTTTTTCCAGACCCACAGGACTCCATCGGACCCAATGCGGTTGACCCTAGTCTCGTCGGACCAAACGACTCGTTTCCAATCATCGATTGTCCAGTGCTCGTACTTTCGCACGAAATCCATGCGCTCCGCCTTGTGCTTGGAGGTAAGTTTTGGCCTTCGCCGTTTGCGCACGGCGGTCAGACCCTCCTGTCTCAAGATCTGTCGAACTCTTGCTGCCGTCAAGTCCGTCCCAAAGTCTCTACTAAGCCGTTCCTGCACGTCTACAGCGATTTGAAGTGTACCATTTGTGATTTCTCGAACCATCAAACGTTTGGTTGCCTCGGATACTTTCCCAGGGCGGCCGGATTTTCGCGGCGGAAGGGTCTCCTTGATGGTCTGCGCGAGCTGAGAGACCTTGGCCTGTGATACTCCACGTCTCTTGGCAATGGCTCGTGTGGTCATTTTCAACCGGAGGTCAGCAATGATCCCCTGTTCAATGTTATGATTGAGCTTCTTCATGTAGGATTTAAAGTCGTGGCGTAAGGTAGTCGATATTATGGTAGTAGGAGTGTGTGGGTAGCTGAAGTGGAGAAGAAAGAGCAAAACGAGGTTCAAAAGTGCATGGGGGTAATAATGAGTAAATGACGTCATAATTTTTAATTTGAGATATATATGGCTCGCTGTATTAGACACACCTGGTAGTCATTCCACGCGATGCTGAATGGACCATGATATTACTGGCGAACATGCACAGCACTAGTGGTCTTGGATATCGAGGCATAAAATTTTATCGGCACTTATACCAAAACATTTACTCATTATTTTCGGTAGTGTACATGCGGACAAAATCCATACGTTCCCTGCGATGATTGGCGGTCAGTTTGGGGCGCTTGACCTTTCGCATTGCCGTCAGTCCCTCCTCCCTGAAGATCTCTCTGACCCTGTTGGTAGAGATGTTGATGCCCAGTTGCTCAGAGAGATGCTTCTGCGCATCAACGGCCGTTTTGAGATCGCCGTTTGTGATACGTCGTACGATTGCGCGTCGAGTGGTTGGGGATACCTGGCTTCGACGGCCGGCTTTGGCTGGAGGAATGCTCTGTTTGACTGTTTGCGCAATTTGGGACACTTTGGACTGAGAAACAGAGTGCTTCCGAGCAATCTGTCTTGTGGTCATACCGGACTTTAGGTTCTCGATGATGAGACCCTCAACGATGGAACTGAGCTTCTTCATTGCGTAGGAGAGAAAATGGTAGAAGGAGCTACAAGCTGTGGGAAACGGCGAGAATGCAGATGGTAAGGCGAGGAAAGTGTAAACGATTTAAATATTTTGGAATGAGAGGCCGGAAATTGAGTAAATGCAGCAGATAGACAAATACCTTGCGTTCTCCTTGGAATGATGTCAGAATGATTTCAAACTTCACTATACTGCTTAGACGTAGTAATGCTAATTTGGTAATGAAACGTAAGTTCATTCTACCTTCCGTTATAAAATTATGGAGCGCCAATGATAAACCGAGAAAACATTTACTCAATTCCCGGAGTCAGTGTATACAGGGGGCGCAGTGGTGGAGGCGCGGTGATGGAGGCGCGGTGATGGGGGCGTGTTTGAGGGCTAAGCAGAAGGTTAGCCTAAGATACTATCACAGAACGTCCTGGATTGATCCAGCTTCTTTTTCAGCGATGAGTTCCTCGACGGTGGCGTATGAGGGGTTTTCGGTCTGCAGGTCAGCTATCGCAGCGAGGAAGACATCGGAATAATCAGCTGCTTCCGGATCGACTTCGCTCTCGGAGGATGTATCGGACGCAGATGTTTCGGTGGCACTGGATTCACTTTCGGTCTCATATCCGTCGGAATCGGTGCCGTTCTCGTTCTGCAACAATCCTCTGTATCCCTTCTTCACGCGAGGTTGTATCTGCAGTTGCGTCTCTTCGTCCTTGACCACGACAGGCGCAGAGCCGTTCCCGCCGTCAATCTGGATCGTTTTGCCTCCAACCTGAATCTGATAGACGCTACTATCCCAATGTGTGACACACTTGGTCATCTCCAAGAATCCTCGGCCGAGCAGTAGCTCAAATGGGACATTGTTCATGATGATGCATCCGATGATCACGGTCTGCCCGGCTATGTTCAACGGGATCTGACTGGCTTCACCAACAGCTGGTAACAATCCACCCAGGGATCGTACGGAGATCTTGGAGAGGTTCGATACATTGGTGATATTCGCACGTTTGAGGAATTCTGGGCTACAAACATTCACGCAGGCTCCTCCGTCCATCAGTGGTTTGATGAGATGCCCGTTCACGGTCGCAAGGAAATGGTGTGTGGAGTTCTTGGAGAGGTCCGTCCGAGCCAAATATGCGCATACTTCTGGGTCATGGTTATCGATTCCAAAGCCTGGATACTTGGCCAGGAGGACGTTTTGCTCTTTAGAGGGCAACACCTTGAATGAGTCTCCGAGGATGCGTCGCAAAGCCGGGGACACAGCCAAAAGTTGTCCTAGACTCAATTTGGTCACTTCTACATCCCGAACAAACTGCAGAATATCGAAAGGCTTTTCCTTCCACGTGAGTCTACTCCCGCGAGGCAACATCTCCGCCACCTTGGCCAGCTGTTCATCGTCATCCTTGCTCTCCGTAACGGCCTTCTTCAGACGGTTTCTCAGGCTCGTAACCTTATCATTCTTGTTTATCCTCGTCGTGGTCGTCGTGGTACGTTTCTTCTCTGGCACCTTCTTGGCCGGGGTCTTGTTGCTCTGAATCTCTTTCTGTTTTTGTTTCTGTTTTTCCTTGGCTCGTCGTTTCGCCTCTTTTTCGGATTTTTCTCTTGCCTCTTTTTCGGCTCTTAATGCGTCTGCCCATTTTACTTGTTCCGATAGTTTCTTCTCTCGATCGATGGCGCGAAGCAAAGGGCGTTGATGGATGTCGGGCGTGAATGTATCGACCGCTCGGGATGGGGGCGGAGCCTTGTTCGGTAGTGCAGCCGTTGGGCGTGGTCTTGACGGAATCTCTACATGAGTCATCCATTGACGTGAACGATCGAACTCTTTTCCTGGGGGAGCGATAGTGACAGGAGAACCACGGGCTGTATTGTCGATTGGAGGCGGACTGGGACTCGGAGGGTCTCCCTTGGCATCGTTCGTGGGATTGTGAGCAGAGTTGTCGACTTCCATGCGGTGTTTGGCCTCAGTGGCCTCTCTTTGTGCGATGCGGTCGATTTTCGGTCCGATGGCTGCTGCGGCAAGCTCCTTCTTTGCTTTCGCTATCTCGTCTACTTCGTTCCTCTGGTATGGTGTATTTTCGTGGGGTTTTGGTCGGCCGCGGAAGGTAGCGTACACGTACGGGGGTCCTTTGCCGGAGGGGTGAGAACTGGGACCTTGGTGTCTCACCCCATCTACAGTCCACGGAAAAAGTGTTAGCATGTTTTGCTATTTTGGACTTATACTCCTTTATCTCCCTATTACGCTATTACCAAGGACCGAGATGTCTGGTGGACAATGTCGTAATTTACAAGGAGTTTTCTAGAATGTTCCAGGCTTGAATGACCTTCAGCTGAGGAACGAAGGATCTCGAAAGTCATGAGGTGCACTCTAACACTTTTTAAAAAATCCTATAAATTGTGCTCTTCCCTTACGGTCTGCATCCTCACTCGCAACTAGAACAATACAACTGCACAGTTATCCACTACTCCCATCCTACGCCACATTCATCCCAAGTTTACATCAAACATGAAGCGGCTGCGAGAACAAACCGTACGCGATGCGATTATCCAACTTCGGCAAGGAAAATCTGTCCGCGAGGTTTCAAGATCCTTGCATATCTGTACTTTCTCCGTTTCCAAGATTCGTCAAAGGGACAAGGAGAACGTTCCATCCCCTAAAATAGGGCGTCCTTCGAAGGTTTCGAAGAAGACCAAGACCTTACTTGCTCGTCATTTCGTCACAGGAAAAGCCGTGACCCTCCGCGACGGCCAGCGACTTATCCAATCGGTGCAAGGAGTGCAGGTTCATGTAGACAGTGTCCGGAACTACCTTAAACAGGAGGGCTTAAAAGCATACGTCCAGCCTAGGAAGCGTGATCTGACACCGGATCAAATCAGAGCACGCTACGAATTTGCTAAGGCGCACTTGAAATGGACCGTGGACGACTGGAAGAATGTGATGTTCTCGGACGAAACTATAATCAGCAGGATTGCGTCCTTCGGCAGGAAATTCTATTACAAGAAGCCCAACAGGAAGGATATCCAACCTCACCAAGTGCAGAAAACAAAGCAGGGCGGAGGGGGCAAAATTATGGTCTGGGGTTGCATGACATTTTATGGCTTGGGCGATGCCTGCTGGATCCCAGGAAGTATGGATGCACAAACCTACCTCGATGTACTGAAGGACTATCTTTGCGCATCTCGGGATTGGTTTGGTATGGATCCAGCAAAATTCATTTTTCAGCAGGACAATGCCAAAGTGCATACAGCAGGCATAGTCGAAGACTTCCTTAGGAAATCCAAGATCGCAGTCATGGAATGGCCTGCGAATTCTCCGGACCTCAACCCGATCGAGCATCTATGGTCGCACCTCAAGTACCGACTTGATCAGTACCCAGAGGCACCAAGCTCTTTGGACGACCTCTGGGAGCGTGTTCAGGATATATGGACAACAATAGATATCAAATTCATTCACGAGCTATATGAGAGCATGCCCGAGCGCATGAAGAGGCTTCACGCAAATAAAGGAGGCCATATCGATTATTAATGGCAGAAAAGTAGCTAACAGAATCAGAGGGTGGTCATATTTCGAAAAAGTGTTAGAATGGGGTCAATATGTTCATGTCCTCAATTAGCCGGATAGAGTGCATCCATTGGCTCGTAACTTGGCAGGTAATCTTAACAAATATACGAGATTGATCGCGTGAAGCCTCGTAGCAGTAGGCGGTATTGATGTAAGTATCAAAGAAAAAAGGTCGAAATTATGAAAACATGCTAACACTTTTTCCGTGGACTGTAAAAATCCTGCCCCTCCAATGCGTTACGATCATTCACGTAATCTTCCGCGTCTTTGGCCGTCAAGTAGCAGGCGAATTCACGTGCCTGCTCGAAGTCTTCGTAATCGGCTGCTTGGTACTGCAAATAGTCAGGAGTCGGAGGGGTTCTAGGGTGGAATCAGAGGTTTATTCGATGATTGATTGCTGTCTAATCCTACGTTTGAAGGGCTCTTATATACTAAACACAGTTGTGTTGGAATACTCTAGAAACTAGGCGCAGCATGGTTATGACCATGACATCATTCTCGAATAAACAGTTGTACCTGTTGCACCTCCCCATCTTAAAAAAAAAACGTTACTCCTTTTCACGCTTGGCCTCGAACTCTGCTAGGGCCTCCTTAGCATTGACCAATGGCGCCTTTGGCTCCCAGGTTGCCTCTTCCAGTGGGTATCCTTTCCATTGAACGAGCCATTTAGGTGTCCTACCAAATATTTTGTGATCCAGAATGCGTTCTACTTCGAACTCTTCTTCTCCATCAATGAGCTCCGGTGAAGGCCGAGGCGGTATGCTTGAGGGTCGATTGGCATGTGCTGCGACCGAGAGGTGTTCTGTGCTGAGAGGTACCCTGTCTCCGACGCCGAACGGCACGTTACTGCGGAATTTATCTGCTTGCTGCTTCTGGCGGTCCTGAGCAGCGACGATGGCATCCTGGGCGCGAGCGAGAGCAGCCGACTGAGCAGCCACGAAGTATGAGACTGATGGCACGTTGGTGGTGGACGGCTTCAGAAGTGATGCAGGCACGAGAGGGTGGTGACCATGATTGAGAAAAAAGGGCGAAAATCCTGTCGTTGGGTTTACCGAATTGTTGTATGCAAACTCGAGCATCGGCAAGAACAGATCCCAGTCCTTTTGGTTATACGAAATGTAAGAGCGCAGCATCTCTTCGAGCGTTCGATTGGCACGTTCCGTTTGGCCGTCCGTCTGAGGGTGATATGCCGTTGACATGTTCAATTTGGTCCCCATCATCTTCATTAATGCCGTCCAGAATTTGCCTGTGAAGCGAGAGTCGCGGTCCGAGACGATGGCGCGCGGCATACCATGCAAGCGGAAGACTTGCTCGAAAAATAATCGGGCGACGTCGGTGGCGGAGTCCGTGGTATGGCTAGCACAAAAATGGACCTGCTTGGACAACTTATCTACAATGACCGTGATCGCATCGACTCCACGGCTTGTTTTGGGAAGTGACACGATGAAATCCATGGAGACTGTATCCCATCGCTGGCTCGGTATGTCCAGAGGCTTGAATAGACCGGCAGGGTGCTGAAGCAATGGTTTGTTGCGTTGGCATTGCTCGCATGATCCCACATATGCTTTTGTGTCACGAGCCATTCGTGGCCAGAAAAAGGTTCGTCTCATGTTCTCGTATGTTTTCTCGAAACCCAGGTGGCCAGCAATGGGCGAATCGTGTGCGTCATGGAGGAGGGTTGCTCGGAGCTTGTTGTCGTTTGGGATGCATAGGCGTGGCTCGCCACCAGCATTGATCCAGAGTAGTCCATCTGCAACAAAGTAGCGGTCCGTTGGGCCTGCGCTGGACGACTTGTTGTATACTGGGCCTAAGGTGCAGTCTGAAGGGTAGCTCTCGATCGGGCGTTTCCGTAAGTCGAGGTCCACCTGAACGTCCATGGAATTAAATGCTGTGCCGGCAGGGTTCTCGTCCTTGTGGTCGGGTCTTCTTGAAAGTGCATCGGGGACGATGTTGTCTTTGCCTCGCTTGTATCTGAAGTCGAAATTGTCGTATATTTGGGTCGTCAGTCCGCTAGAACGACACTTCTTAATAAAACAAGTAGACCAGAGCAATACCGAATCACTTCAGCTCAGCCTTAAAAGACTGAGCTGGACGGGGCCGGTTCTGATCCCTCTCTTTGTCCCAATTATATCTTGTGAGCCCAAAACATAACAGAAATCGTATTCCTGGAGGACCTCCATCCATGTAGCCTGTCTCCGCGTCAAATTAGGCTGGGTTGGAAAGTGTTGTAGAGTCGCATGATCCGTGTAGACGATGAAGTGCGATCCGTCCAAATAATACCGCCATGTCTTGAGGGCGTGCACCACAGCCAGCAATTCTTGCTCATGTGTCGGATAATTCCGTTCTGCTGGGCACAATTTGCGTGAAGTGAATGCGACGGGTCGAGATTCACCGTTGCTATCCGTCTGAAATAAAACAGCACCGATGGCAAAGCCGGAGGCATCAGTTTCGACAGCTGTGGAGAGGGCCGGGTCGAAGATGCGGAGGACTGGGGCTGTAGTCACAGCGTTTTTCAGAGCGTCGAAGGCATCCTGCTGGGGCTTGTCCCAAGTGAACGGAGTCGTGGAGCCTAGTAACGTGGTGAGAGGGAGAGCAATATCTGCGTGGCGGTAAATGTATTGATGGTAGAAGTTTGTCAAGCCCAGAAACTGCATAACTTGGCGCTGAGTCGAGGGAACTGGCCATTCCCTGATCGCCTTCACGAGTCCAGCATTAGTCTTGAGTCCGTCCTTCGAGATAACATGGCCCAAGAATTCGGTCTCGTCCTGCATGAAGGAGCACTTGGACAACTTGCAATAGAGGCCTGCCTCGCGCAGGAGGGCTAAGACTTGCCGGATGTGCTGCAAGTGTTCCTTCTCGCTGTTAGAGTAAATCAATATGTCGTCCAGATATACTACGACACACTTATCCAAGACAGGGTCTAGCACATTGCGCATCATGGTAGAAAAAGCGGCCGGGGCGTTGGTTAAACCAAATGGAACGACGTTGAATTCATAGTGACCGTATCGTGTCCTGAACGCCGTCTTGTGTTTGTCGTCCGGGTGAACACGCATCTGATGGTATCCTGACAAAAGATCCAGCTTGGTGAAGTGGCGTGCTGTTCTGAAGCGATCAATGAGTTCGTCAATTCGCGGTAGTGGATGTCGATTCTTCCTTGTTATCTTGTTGAGTCCTCTGTAATCGACACACATCCTAAGAGATCCATCCTTCTTCTTTACGA